TGATTCACTGCATTCTCAAAGCGGACAAACTATAACAAACATACACACATTTGTTCCTCAATAACGTCAAAACGTCTGAAGGGATTGGAATGAAATTTGGAACAGGGGTAGATTATGGTATTGAATACCACATAGGCTACTTTTTAACATAACATAACATCACGCCTTTACTATTTATGTTATGAGTCCCATGTAATAGGGGGTGAGCCTATTGCCATATACCGGGCACAATTCCAGACTCCGTGCTACTACGGAGAATTTGTTTAAAACCCAGTAATAAATTGCCCGTCCCGGCCCCAGACCCCTTGCCTGGCAGTCGCACTTGCGACCACTCGGCCAACGAGGCAGTCTACTTTTTATACTACGGGAACGTGGGCGTAACCCCTGGTAGAAGCTAGTATTATAAATGCGAAAGTTTGTGTATGTTTGTTACTAAATAACGTCAAAACGGCTGAAGAGATTAGGGTGAAAATTCTCGCACATTATAGTTTATAATCTGTATAGACTTTAAAAGAGACAATGACCACTGAGTTTGTTTCGGCGTTCCTTCTCAGGGTAGTTAGGAAATGCCCTCATGTAGCAATTTAATGATTGACGTGTAAAAGTGTTACATTGCAACTTATTGGCAGAAATAATTATATCATTTCATTTCAATGGAACAAATTCAGATTATGGTTTTTTTAAGGGGGGAAAATCATCGAATGAATGCTCCCGCCAGGGTGAGGCGGGAGGGAGTGTCAGACTCTTACTGACTAAAAACCACCCCGTTTCTTCTCCTGCGTGTCGAGCCGGAGCCCCGGTTACCCGTTAGGTTCGTTTGGATTAACTAATAGTTAGGCTACTTTTATTGTACGGCAAGGCGGGTGAAACATCTGACGGAATCTAGTCCCTATCTCATACTTCAATATTATGTATGATTGTATGTAATGTGACATAGCAATAAAGAGTTTTAATAGCAACATAAACAAGGCTACCTTATGGCTTAGTCATCATTACCTTAGCTTGCAACCTACATAACACACATTCAATCTTATAGCAACTCAATAAAACCTTGTCTCCACGTCTATACATATAAATAATATGCAAAACTGTTACAGTCTCATGGTCAAATCATTGTAAGAAAAAATATCAAAAGTTCTAAAATATGAATGTATTGTATTGTTTGTTTGTTTGGCTATGCATTTATATCTAAACTGCTGGATCAATTTTGATGTACTTTCGTGTAGACACCTCTCTATGCCTGCTGTCTGCCTTTTTTTAAGTGGGGAAATCTTCGATTGACTTCTCCTGCCTGGGTGAGGCGGAAGGGAGTGTCACTCTTAATGACTAAAAACCACCCCGTTCCTACTCCTGCACTTCGAGACGGAGCCCCGGTAACCTGTTAGGTTCTCCGCAGCTCTCTGTTTAGATAAGACCGACAAATTACTTTACTCTCTGGCGTTATCCTACGTTTCTTAGGGTCACATGTTAAAATAATATAAAAAGAAAAGATTTTGAAGGTCAAACAAAGAATTTAAAATTGTCAGCCTATTGGCCAGTCTTCTAGTGAAGCTTTGCTTGTTGCAAAGTGTAGATTCTTATGGAGAAGCAACTAGCAAGAGATAGTATAGGTTACTTCCTATTCTATACTCTCCTATCATCGTCTCTCTTATTATTGTCCACACTAACCACCTCTTCTTTAGTCATCATCTATGTATATTTCCATTCTCCTAAAAATGAAATTTATCTAGGAATCTAGGTAGTAAGTATGTGGGACAAAAATAGAGGTACATACATAAGCTAGTATATGTCAAAATTAACTGCTTATTCACATAGTAAACATGTATGTTCAAACTATGTCATTATCAAAATAATATAATATAGAACATACTTAGTAATATTATCTTAAGAGATAACATTCTGATAAAGTTGTAAACAATATTTTTAAATTATCATAGCGTTTCATAATTACTGTTTATATTGATTAGGTAAGCAGAGGTGCACAGTAATATTTTTAACTAGCTACTTCCGCGCGCGGTTTCGCACGCTCTGCTCAGCTCCTATTGGTCGTAGCGCGACGTTTTATAGCCTATAGCCTTCCTCGATAAATGCACTATCTAACACAAAAAGAATTATTCAAATCAGACTTGTAGTTCCTAAGATTAGTGTGTGCAAACAAACAAAAAAAAAACAAACTCTTCAGCTTTATAACATTAGTATGATAGTAGAACTTAGGGGTGGCTTATGTATTAGGGAAAGCACAAGCCTTCCCTTCCTTCCTAGCCTTGAACACAAGTTCAGCAGTAGACATCTTATCTTGGCTGATATGATGAAAAAGAGTAGGTCTTATGGAGTATTTCCATAGGAATCTACACGTTAGAACGAGCAAATAGCTTCACTAGAGGACTGGCTGACAGTCTGACCTATGTTGTTTGACATTCAAAACTGTCTTCTTGGTCTAATTTAAATAAATGATTTTGACTTTTACTTTTCGTTTATTCTTTCAATCCCTCAAGTTTGACAATTAATTCATTTTTAATTCATTTACTGTTCTGGCTACCTCATTGGCCGGGTGGTCGCACGTGCGACTGCAGGGGAAGGGGTTTTGGGTTCAATTTCTGAGTCGGGCAAAGTATTACTGGGTTTATAATAAAAATCTCAGTAGTAGCATAGAGTTAGGAATTGTGCCCAGTATATGGCAATAGGCTCACCCCCTGTTAGATGGAGGACTTTTAGTGGCTGTTAAATTGTACAGTGGCATTAACCTCTTATCTGCTGGCATATAAGACACAATAGAAAACATATTGTGTCTCGCGTATATCTACGCTCCCGGCAAACCATGGGTTAAGTGTCATAATGTGCACCTCTGCCTACCCCTTCGTGATAAAATGTTACATATATCAACTAAATAAATATAAGTAAGCTTATTCCCTTTTGGATTTACATAGAAGATGTTAAGTTACTCAGCACAAAGTAATCTGAGGTTATATTTAAATGGTTTTCTTAAAACCATGGTCAAATTGCTTACTTAGAAATGTCAAGGTTGAACAAAATATATTCAGTACTAATACACACTTCAGCACCTGATTTTGTATGTTTGTGTAACACTTATTAAGTAGTTAATCTATATGTAACTAGAGAATTGTATAGTGAACCATTTCTCAATCAAAAAAAGAATAACATATGGAGTTTCCTGTTCGTTCTTCTACATAGGAATCTACACCTCGGAATGAGCAAATAGCTTCACTTTTTGTTGACATTCTATAGTGCCCTTCTGATAGAAACATAAGAGGTGTAAAATATACACTTTTTATGACATAAATAATCATTATTATCTTACTACTATTATATAAAAGCTGATGTTTGTTTGAACATACTAATCTCAAGAAGTAAGTACTGGTCTGGTTTTAAGCCAAGCTAACTTTTATTTGCCAAAGATGGCCATTTTAACCTATATTTCAGACCATGGATATATGCGAGACACAATGCGTTTTCTATTGTGTCTTAAATACAGACATACAAGAGGTTAATCAACCTCTGAACTATTTCTCAACTAAGAGTTTCTTTGCGTAAGCGTTACTTATAGATTGGTAAAACTAAAACCAACATTTCATTAACCCATAAATCACCAAGCGGTCACCGGTGACCGCTTTCCACTAATATTACATTACATTATAGACCTTATTTGTAATGTTTAGAGACTACTTTTGTATGACCAAATTTAGGGGGTGGATTTCAACAGGTTAAGTATCACCACCATCTTAGTTTAAGGGTTCCGTAACCCATCGTGTGACTAAATGTGGATCCACACAACACATAACATATTTTCTATTGTGTCTTGAATGCGTGCATTCAAGTGGTTAAAATAAAAGAGAGGTTATTAAAAACAGCCATTTCTCATCTGTAAATTCTAATTAGAATCATAAGATTGGGCTATAAACACCGAAGTTTACACATTAGTACAACTGTTCTAATCATATATTAATCCATGTATTATAAAGTTTAGATTACTTATCAGAATATTAAACTGAATCAGAGAAGTTATGTTAATATTTCAAAGATAAATAACCAACATACAATAGGATTATTGTAAAAAAATTGTCATAGACAATTTTAGACATATTTCTCATATCTCCACTACCTTTAGAATAGGTTTCGAATTGGTTTTCGAATAGGAATAACGGCGTAATGACGAAACCAAATTGTTTTTAGAAAGTTATGTGACCCATTTTGAAATAATTGAATTAAAAGCTCAATTTGGGCACGAATGGCTGGGTTTTGAGCCTATAATGAGCTAAGTATGTAATTAATTATTACAATGACATAATTGTAGGCACCTTTGATACGTTTCTGAGTCATTACTTATAATAAAATTCGATTGTTAGTTTGTAAAGTTTGCATGCGAAATCTTTTCCTCGACATTGTACGACTACTTGTTATGATGTCATCCGTCGCCACCGTCTTCAATACGGGCCTTCGTGTTTATTATTTAACTTGGATTACCCTTGAAATAAAAATTTGCAATATGAAAAAAATATGTCGCATCAAATTGCATTTTACTCGACTTTTTATACAAATATCGCACAGGTGAAGGTTTGTATTCTAAAGAAAGAGTGCAAAAATTAGATTATTGAAGGATTCTCGCAAGGAATATCGAAATCTGCAAGGTGTCTGACAAAGCAACTGTCATTTAGAATAGAGCAAACCCGTTTGACGACCGTTGCAACCTCTCAAAACCATAATACAACGAAAATAAATGTGTAAATACATGCTTGTTACCTGAAGTAACTCGATCACTAGTTAAACAAAGCACTGGGACACTATTTCGACGCAAAAATATCATAAAAAGGCATCATTACCATGTATAGGTACGACCTTTGGAAACAAAAACTTCCTTGATCAACACTAATCAACTCTCACACGCACAGTTCGCAGTTCACAACTAATTTGACACTCAATATAGCTAGGTAGAATCTTTGTAACTAATTTTAAATAGTATTTTCACAAGACAAATATCTCACCATTTCAAAATCACTTGAAAAATTCAGCGATATCGCGCATGTCCGACGAAAATTTACATCACGTGACCTGTCATGGCGTCTAACTAACTTTTTAATTCTTTTGCAGCATTGCTTTGGAATGTTGTCATACTTCCTGGGTAGTTTAGATTTTTAATTAAATTTGTTTTAATTTTTACAATGCATAAAAAATGTTAATAATTTCTAATCTTAAAATATTTAATAAACTTATATTACGTAAAAGTTCATTTTAAGCAAATGAAAAATTAGTGATAGCAGCAAAAACGAATCGTGATGCCATAGACTATAAAAGAGTAGACTAAAAAAATTCCCGCGCATTTCAACGTTTTTTTGCATTGTAATATTGTGTTGTTTGAATTTGTAAAATAACGTTCAGGTTTTTTAGAAACAGTGAAAAATTTCTTGTGTACAATATAAATTACCATGAAACATTCACGAGTTTCAAACAGAGTCATGTTCGTGTTTTCTGTGTACCGTAAAATGGGGTGGATAGGGATCAAGAGGTGAATAGAGACAGAAGAGGGGTGATCATAGATAATATTGAGAAATTCTTCATAGTACATCAATCAGTAGTATCAATTCACCCCTCTTCCTCTTTTGTACCAATTCACCTCTCGATCTCGATCCCTATTCACCCCATTTTACCGTTACTTGCAGAACAGAAGGCGGTTATCACAGTGATTTTAACATTGTAAGTATGCGAGAATCTCAATATACAGAATGTAATTTTGTAATGCCACCGGAAGGGAGAGTAATTTTAAAATTTAGATAGAAAAATTTACGCAAAGAAAACATTCCTTTATTTTTGAAAAGTAAGAAACGGCTTTCAAAGATTATTAAAAACTCACTTGTTGCACACGGTAATGAAACTGATTTAAATCTGTAAAAGTTGCACATGTACTTTTATTGCATCGTTCGTTAGGGCCAATAAGGATGAAATTTCTTTAATAAACTTCATAAATTGAATGAAAAGAAAACAATGAAATCTAAAATTATTAATTCAATTGTTGATCCAATGGTTAAAGTTAAAGTATTAAGAGTTTCCCTTCAGGTGGCTTTACAAAATTCCACTCTATATTAAAAGCCATGAAATACGCTTCATGATTAGGTATAAAATGTCTATAGATAGAGCGTTACCATACCATTTTTTTTTTAAGGGGGGAAAATCATCGAATGACTGCTCCCGCCTGGGTGAGGCGGGAGGTAGTGTCAGACTCTTACTGACTAAAAACCACCCCGTTCCTTCTCCTGCACGTCGAGCCGGAGCCCCGGTTACCCGTTAGGTTCTCCGCGACACGTTACCTACCATACCATACAATGGCAACGAATATGACGTTCCAAAATTTCCTGCATGTGTGCGTGTGCGTGCGGCTTGTGGTGTACACGAAGCAAAAATGAAACCAGCTACGACAAAATTCTCCCATCAAATTTATATCTTCCATAAATATTTGGGTACATTACATGTATCAGACCATTTAAAAGAAAAATAAAAAAAATTGTAACAATCTCTTTGAATTTGAATTTATAGTTTTTTTTTATTGGACACTGTTGATAATCATGTTATAAAAGTAAATATTGCGATTTAATCATTTCAAAATAACTGTCGAAAATCGAAACGAACCTTCTTTTTTTAGTCGGTTAGAATAAATAGTACATTAAAGCGTGAGTAAGTGAAGAAATAAAAATATTATTTTATTTTTAATTTACAAGCAAGTGAGATTCTTTGTCAATTTGGCCCTCTTTATGAGACCCATGACAAGGGAATATTGAAAAATAAATTAGCAACACTGATAAAATATGGCGGCAATTAATTACGTTAAAACATATATACATTAAAGAATGTAATTTTAAATTACCTATTGATGGATAAGTGATCTACCAAATACTTTTTAACCGTTATTTATAATTTTAGCACAATTTCATGGAGCAAGTAGCCATTTTTGCAGTGTACTTGTTTTTGTTTACAAATTTATTTTGTAGCGTGCATACACGTAGTGACGCCTAGGTGACATGATTGGTACTACTTGACGGGAAAGTGCATCAGTGAATAAATAGTTCACTGCAAATTTTTGGACCATTTTCGTGAACTGACACTCCATCTAGACATTGTATAATCAAAGGAAATACGATATTTAAGTACCTAACAATATCTGGCAGACGTTTAAAAGTTGTAATTACGTAACTAAACTTGTACTTTGGTAGCTCGCCGCCCGACTAGAACCAAACCCGTGCCAGCATCGGACCACGGAACCCCTACCCTTCCACCGGTGGAAGGTGTAACGGGCTGCCAGGGCTCTGGGTCGAAGAGCAGGGTGCTTATTCTTGAAACCAATCTCAATGTCAATGCAATTTTAATCCAATAAAATCTCAATAATTATTCAATGTCAAATCAATACAACCCCTATCGTAGCTGTTAAAATAGCATTTAGTAGAGTACGGAATATAAAACCAAACTCAATGACATTTACCTACTTCATTCAATATGCACGCAATACGGGTGTGATGAGCGCTAGTGTTGCAACTCGAGTACGAAATTTCACAATACCAATGTCGATCAATCGAAATTGGATTCAAGAGTAAGCCCCCAGGAGTAGGAACGGGGTCGTTTTTATTTATTTATTTATTTTATTTATTTATTACAACACCTTACAATATGACATCTTACAGTTTATTCCAATGACTCTTCTGGTGTTGCGGGTGTCCATGGGCGGCGCTGATCGCTTACCATCAGGTGATCCGTCTGCTCGTTTGCCTCCTATTCCATAAAAAAAAAAAATGCAATATCATATTTCCTGAGACATTTAAGTCTAACACGTAACTTAATTAATAAAAATTTCACCTTAATTATTAGACTTATAAGCGTTACATACTCTCAGTATGACATACATATTATAACCATATAACTAGACCCAATTACTCAATACGGTGATATTCAATATGCCTTTGCACTGCCTCAATAAACCTTGGTAGGTTGTGGAACAAATCATACTCCGGTACACTATTTATAATCCGAACAGCACGCGAAATAGGAGCATATTTAAGAAGATTAGTCCTAGCCCTTGGCACCTAGTCTGTACTACCCCTATACTTATTATACTCTTTGGTCTGCACCTAAGAGTCTGACACCTCCAAAGAGTATAATAAGTGGGAACTGGGAAGATACCTCTCTCCTAACCCAAAGCGGGAGAAGTCATTGGACCCCCTCAAAAAAAAGGTAAGTACAGCAATTAAAAAGCATCTTACCTTTGAATTTTGAACTAGGTTTTTTCGTATCTACAGTTTTTATACAAAGCTTAGCACAATAATGATACCTAGTTTTAGCTGAAACTTAAAAGTAAATCACGACAAGCAGTGACCGAATTTTGTTTGCTAAATTCTTGCTACCCGATTGTCCGCTATAGTCGGATAGGGACCTAACAAATCCTTGAAAGAAAAGCAACTGTGTAATGTAGTTTAATAATTTTATTTCATGATCAACTGATAAGACTTCTTGCACGTGCATTCTTTTAGACCAAGCGATTTCTTATTCTATTTGTACAGTTTAAACAAAATTACCTACTACTTAACAACGAACTAACAATTCATTGGCGAAAACATTCGGGAAAGTGCATGCACACGGGGATGCCGAAACAATCTTCGAAATACTTCTGCATCGCCAGCACACAAAGAGGAATTCCCTTACAATTTTTTCCTGTACATCTTTCACAAACGCAAATTTCTTCTTCATCGCCCCTAAGACCCTGGAATCTACGAGCTGCAGATAGGCAACGAGGCGCTATAGCCAGAGGATTGGCGGATCCAGTCATAGGTGTTCGAGGATCATTTTGTGATGGAGTGAACCCTGGTGGTCCCTGTACAGGACTTGGCTCAAGACCAGGAGGAACAGAAAACTGTCGCTCGAATGGCACAGGTCTAAAAACCGGCGCTTGGAACAAAGACTCCGGAGTTGTATCCCCTGGTGATACCGCAATGCTTGGCGAGTGTGCGCTTCCTGGACTCTGAGCTACTTGCCGGGGTGTGCCCATTTGCCCAAAATTTGTTGGAGAAGGCATGCGACCTGATACTGTTTCTCTAGGAACTTGCTGTGGCTGTTGTGGGGACTGATAGTATTGGTTTATAGATCTTTGACTAACTCCATGACCCGGCTGATTATTGGACACGTTAAACTGCTCTGGGACTTGATTTGGTGTCTGAGCGTAGTAATTAGGAGGCGCTTGTGATGAGCTCAGGAAATTCCCAGCTTCAAAATCACTGTAGTTTACTGGCTCTGCAACACTTCGATCATATTGTGATGCTGGATACCTGCTGCGATATTCTGTTCCAAGAGATGAGGGAGTTTGATAACTTGTATTTCGCATTCGATTTTCTGTTTCAGGCAATGACACCCATTGTTCTCCTTGACTTGTGCGTGTGTCGTACTGCGAAGGTATTTGAGGAGAAACGTGTCTTTGAGAAGTTCTAGCGTCATCTTGATTTCTCATTGATACTGACTCTGATACGCTTTGATCGAATTGCGGTGCTGCTTGCTGATACTTGCTACAATTTTCTGTTGCAGTACATGAGGTTTCATCACATGAATTTGGCATTCGATTTACTGTTTCAGGCAATGATACCCATTGTTCTCCACTATCGACCTGAGAAGAAATGTGTTTTTGAGGAGTTTTAGTGTCATCTTGGTATTTTACTGTTAATACACGGTCTCGTGAGACGTAAATTGGCCTAGATGTTTCTGTTGGCCCAGTAGAGCTGGAATTTAAATCAGCAGCTTGACTGCTTGTAAGTGGTGGTGCTTTCCTTTCCACTTCGTTGTTTTTCAGTTTATTAATAAAATCATCAACATCCTTAGGACTTATATCTTTGTCTAGCTTTTTGAAGCACCTAGTAATATCTGATTTCATTTTCTTTTCGTTAGATGGAGTGTATCCTGATTTTTCGATGTCACATAATCTTTTAGCAAGATGCTTTTTAATTTTATTTGTTTTCTCTCCTTCGGGAACCGATTGTTGACGTAGTAATTCTTCTACTTCCTTTTTCATTTTAATTTCAGCTACTTCTTCTTGTAAAGCCGTTTGTGGGACTGGAATTTTTTCCAATTCACAAAGTAGTTGGTTTCGTCGTACTAATGGATCCATTTCTTCATCTGCGCTTTTGTCTTTTATTTCTGCACAATATTTAACGACTGCATCATGAACTTGTTTCTTGTAAAGCTGTCTCCCTTCCTCATCATGTTTGTTGTAATGAAATTGTACAAAATTTTCTACGATTTCTTCTTTCAGTTGATTAAACAGGGCTAATTTATTTGCTGAGGTATCTTGAGGTTTTTTTAAAATGCTAGCTACGGTGCTATCGAGTTCTTGTTTGTACTCATGTCTTGCTTTCTCTTCTTTGATTAGTGGTTTGATTGACATTATCTTTGTTATAAGTTCATATTTTCTCTCGAGTTTAGTATTTTCAAAATCAGAGTTTACAGGTATATTAGATAAAATGCTTTCAAGTTCCTCATCTAGTAATTCAGTATAGACCACATCATCATTGAAGATCTCTGGGTCCATATTTAATTCGCTGATGTGTATTATGATTCTGGTTGAAATGTTGTCTCTAATAACTTTATTTTGTTCCTCTGTAGAATTCAATGGCAGTTGGTTACACCAATCTTCCACTATTTCTACGATAATGTCGCCTGGTTTTTTATGAGCCATAGGTGTAACTTGTATGCAAGGTTTTGCGTGGGTTGCTTTTGATTGTAGTTGTGGCTCAGTTTTCTTTGATTCTTTCTTATCACTGCTTCCTTTTCCTGTCTTACACTTTCCTTTACATTTTTTGTCAGAAGGTACGTGTTTTCTATCACTTGCTGTTGATTTCAAGATTTTTAGTAATTTCTTCGCGTATGCGTCATGTCCTTCATGACCAGGTGTCAGAGGAAGTTTTTCAAGCCATTTTCGCGTTTCTTTTGTAATTTTGTCGTCCATTTTACAACTCTTTGACTTTTCTATTTCATGTATCCTCTTGGCGAGTGTAGAAAGTATTTTGTCCCTTTCTAGTAGTTCAGTTAAGTTATCGGTATGTTCAACGGGAAGGCTCTCATACCATCCGTCTATTTCACATCTTGTTTTAACTTGTTCTACTTCATCAATGACTGATGTTTCATTAGGCATAGGAACTTTGAATAATGCACTATAGAGTTCGTTGTAAATTTGATCTTTAGTCAAAGGTAGAGCATTCCTGTTTCGTGCACTTTCGAAATATTTATCAGTTTCTTGTTTGATTCTTTTTTCATAATTTGCCTTAACATCATCATTCGCGTGATCGAAGTTCTCTAATATGAACATATTGGCTAAGTGATTTTTATATATCTCAAATCCTGGATCAAACATATGCGTACTTTGTACTGGGTTCGGAATCGACGAGTCTATAGTAGTTTCTAATTTATTTCTATAATTTTCTCCTGTTGATTTTTCTTTGATGACTTCGTTAGTTTCCATAATATTGTTTATTAACGATTCTTTTAGCTTTTCTCTATTTTTCTGCAATTCAGGATTTTGCGGAACATTCTCTAATTGCGTATCTATTTCATCGCCTAACATTTCTCGGTAAAGTAAGTCATCGTTAAATACCCTTGGGTCTAAATTCAGTTCGCAAGTCTTTTGGTATAAATTCCTAGCTATGCCTTGTTTCATTTTTTTTACTGCCTCTTTGTCTTTATCTTTGATAGGTAACTTGTTACACCAAGATTCAATGGCTTCGACTATTGATTCCGCTGGAGTTTTTTTAGCTTTGAATAAGCTGCATATTGAATTTTTGCTGCTTTTCTTAGAAACATTTTGTTTACTATCCTTTTTAGATTTCAAGCTACTGCTTGTATCAGATTTTAATGAATTTGAAGATGAACCTAATACATTATCACTAGATTTTGTTACAATAATGTTATTCACTCTATCCATTCTACTCATCAGTTGTTGTGTCACTATTGGCAACACAATAGGTCTGCTTTCATCTAGTGGTAATTCTGATATCCAATCACCAATATACTTTTCTAATTTTTTATCACCGTTCTTATCGTTAGGATATGCTCGTCTTAGTGAGTCTGTTTCGCACATTTTTTCGGACAATTCAACAATCATTTTGAATCTTTTTTCTTGAAAATCAAAGTTTGGTAATACGATAGGAAGGTTATGCATCCAATCAATAATTTCTGTTCTGTATTTAGTATTATAACTGTTGCGTTTAATGTCTCCATCACTTGGTATGGGAACGTCAGCAAATTTGTCATACAGTAGAGCTTTGTTTGGCGCTGAGGGATCCATTCCGTTTCTAATCATTTTATTTACTTCTTTGTATAAATTACTGGTCCAGATTTCAAATTTAATCTCATCATCAGCTATTTCCGCCCCATTTATACGGATATAATCATTAATAAAATCGTTTAAATTCTGTTCTTTTATGTCGCTTGTGTTTAATGATTGACTTAGTGAATCGTTACCTGGCGATGTTGTATGACTTCTAGGAGTCTGTCTAGGCGATATAGGACGTCTTTCAGCAAGTCTTTGAAGTAATTGTTCTACCATTAGGGGAGTATTATCTTTATGTTCAGGTAGAATGGGTAAACCATACGTATGCATAGTTTGTAGTATCATTGATGCTGTCAAGTAATTATATTCCATTGCATTTGGATTTTGATATCTCTGTTCTTCAATTTCTTCAATATTCTTAGCAAGATCGTTTATAAATTCTATTCTGGTTTTATTATCTGGTCTATTGAAGTGTTGTTCTATAGGAATTTCATTTAACCAGTTAGATATAATTTTAAAGTAGTCTAAACTGTTTTTATATTTTTCGGGTCTAAACTTTTCATGAATCTTTGATTGTTCAAAGAATTCGTATATTTCTTTTCTGGTGTAAACGTCTTGTCTTCTTAATTCAGTTTTCAGTAAGTGAGCGAATGCACTGAAGACTAAAGGATCATCAATATTGTAGTGACGTTCTATGTAAAGAGGAACAAATTCTCTTATAGTTCTATCAGGATCACCTTGTATATTGCCTATATTAGTTACATTTCGTGGGACTTCTTCTGATAGTCCAGCTTGCTTTTGTTTCTTTTCAGCAATCTTTGCAGCTATATAGCGTTGCCTTTCCTCTTGTCTAGCTTGTAAAGTTCGATCCTGAGGTGCACTCATGATCCTTTCTTTTAAATTCTGAGATAGCACGCCAATATGCTCTCTTTCTTTGTATTTTACCATTTTTTTGACCCAACTATTAATATCTTTGTCTATCTCTGATTCTGGACTTTTATTTCGCAGACGATCCTGCATGTTAAGAGCCAATTCATGAACCATTTTATCTCTCTTGTTCTTATCTTTGTTGCTATAAATTTCCGATGGCTGTTCGTTCATCCAGACTGATATATTGTCTTCTAAAACGTCAACACCTTTCGGTACATAGTCTTCTTCCCAGCCTCTCTCACCTTCCATATGTTTTATATGTCCCATCGCCTGTCGAGTGCCATGATGAGATGCAGTCAAGTTTGGTACTGGAACGCGCTTCAATCTGTTAAGAAAATCAGCTATACGAGGTTTAGCATCTTCAGCAATTTTATCATCATCATAAAAGTTGAATTTGAACAACCATCTGTACAATACGTATTTTTGATATTTGTCTTTATCTGGGAACGCGTCTGGTGCTAACTGTTCTACTTTGACATGATCCATGAGGTCGCCAGCTAGATCGCGTATTATAGTTTCTTTGAAATTAAGATCTTCGTTATATTGTTTCGGTAACGTGTCCATCCATGATCTTATTACATTAGATACATCATCCATGTAAGCTGTTTCTTCGGGGCTTAGTTTTGATATTTCTTTTTTATCCGATTTTATCGGAGTTGATGTTACAGGTGCCTCGGCTTTCTTTTTACAAAATCCCCAATAGACTGAAATTGAACTTGATAACTCTGGTATCACTGAATCAAAGCTGGTCGCAGCCGAGTGTCTCGTTTCATGTATTATGTCTTTAACCTGTTCGATTATCATATTAGCAACAACTTGTGTTCTTTCACCTGAAATTCTACCAGTGTCGCGTAAATACTGACAGATCTCATCTTTGATGCTCACTTCATCACCTGTGCGTAAACAAGCTTTGGAATCTAAGAATGAAGAACAAATTTCAGTTTGGAGGTCATTACGGTGGCATACTTTAATTTTCTCTAAGCATTCTCCGACTCTGTCTGTAATAAGTTCTTTCAAGTTACCAAGTGTTTTAGGTATAGGTATACCCATAATCTGACCAGCACATTGATGGAACACCGAGACATTAGTTCCAGCAGTTTTATTATTTGAAGATTTGCTTTTTAACTGGATGGTTAGTAAGCGATTTGTGAGGTCTTCGGCAAGTCTATTAAGATATACAGTCCTAAATCTTTGACTTGTCAAAGTGAGTGGCGTATCATCCAAAATGTCAATAATTTCCCCTTTCAAGATAAGCTTGTAACTTGTCGTGTGAAGTGGTATCTTCAGCAGTGGTGTTAGTCTTTTCATTATCAAGGACACTACATTACGTCTAGTGACTTTCTTAGAAGGGTCTAGCTGAAGCTTCTGCGACCAATCAGTTATTTCCTTCTCGAAAATTGCCATCGGGTCATCGTTTAGTACAATATTCTGAAAGCCAACCGACTTCTCGTACCTCAGTCCAAGGAAGTTCTCATTGAGTCCACGAATTTTATTCCAAAGCTTTTCTCTCAACCCATCTTTGAATAGCATTTGGTCTCGTTTTGTTCCATGCAGCCACATGGGCAGTTTATTCAAACAGTTCTCTATTTCTATCTTGACTTTCATTTCGTAGGATGGTTCATGAGCTATACTGGCGAGTGAATTAATCTTTTCCGCTAAAGTGTGGACTACATTATGTTTTATATCTTTAGTAGTAAAGTTAAGAGAGTAAAACATTGGTACATGGTGCAGCCAGTTGAGTATTTCATTTTGCAGATGTTCCTTATAAAAGTTTTTCTTAGATAGGACTTCTCTCGTTTCCGATCTCTTTAGAGATATTTCTCTGTCAAAATTGACTACTCTGTTCATATGTTTTCTTGGAAATCGGCCAGGGCTGAAGTCTCTCATAGTGATTTCTGTTTGAACTAGTCTACCGTCGTGTGAGAACGGTAACGTAAACTTTGGTAATCTCATTCTCGACAGTGTTGGAGATACGTTGATCTGATAAAAAGAGGCAAAACAGTTTAGTTACAAGATAAACCCTTTTACCAGCTTAAGTTTTTTAATCTCACACATTTAATTGAAATACCTTATTTAAACTTACGGCCTTGTCACGGTTCTTCCTCTGTGTAACAAACTCTATCTTCTTTGCATTAAGGTGGTGTATGAGCTGGTGTTGAGCGAGCCTCTCCTGGATTATGGGACATTGTTGCTGATTGCAGGACTAAAAGAAATAGAAAAGTATTTAAATAAGCAGCTTTCAGGTGACAAGGAGCGTTGTATTGTCTACGCACTTTTGCGTGTTTTAATTATCGGAGAAGAAACTTACAAGCACGTAAGAAGATTTAATCTTCTCTTTAAAACTCTTGATCTGATTTATGTACCGGACATCAAGCTTCTTGGACAGCTTCCTATGTAACACTTCGCTATCTCTATTCGACCATAGTTCTCCACACATAGAGCTGTATTTCTTCTTTTTACTCTCATTGTCACTGGATATATCTGGCTTTTCGTCATACACGTATCTTGATGGAGAACGGGCGTTACAATTCTCTGTCGATTTCGATCGCTCTGCTGAATTATTTCCATTACATTTTTCGATCTGCTGCTCTGATTTTGATAAATTTTGGTTCTGAGCTTGGTTGCAACCTGGAGGTATTGTGAAGGCTTATCATCATTATTGTATTAGCTTAAACAAGTCTACTGCTGATCATAGGCCTCTACTAATAACTTCCACATTGGCTGGTTTGGGATTGAGAACAAAATGCTTGCGAAGGTGACCTAATTTTACTGGGCTATCAGTCTTCTTTCTCACACACTGTGACCGCCATTGTAGCTAACTGCCCCTTCTACATACCCATCACAGCAATGTTACATGTTTCTTCACTTCTTTTATATTTACTTCAGTTGAAAAAGTACATTTGTATAATTTTTTGATTCAGTTCTTTACAAAAATGTGTTTGGCATATTGCTTGCTTGTTGTTATTGTTTGACGTTTAGTCATTTTGATTGTTTGTTTACTTTTATGGCTTTTCTATTCTTTAGATTTTCTGTCAGATTTTTGAAGGTGGTCTTCAAAGAGTATAATAAGTACATACATAACATCACGCCTTTTATCCCCGAAGGAGTCGGTACTTAATGCCACTGTACAATGTAACACCCACTTTTCACTATTTATGTTATGAGTCCCATGTAATAGTGGGTGAGCCTATTGCCATATACCGGGCACATTTCCAGACTCCGTGCTACTACTGAGGTTTTTATAAACTCAGTAATACTTTGCCCGACCCGGGAATCGAGAACCCGAGACCCCTTGCCCGGCAGTTGCACTTGCTACCACTCGACCAACGAGGCAGTATAATAAGTATAGGGGAATAATATAGAATAGGGGTGGTCTTTGGCTATTACATATTTCATAGAGATAACGGGGCTGATAGTTTAGCTTGGACCTTAAACATCATTGTTTCTGCTGGTTATTGATAATGTTAATCTAAGTACTGCTAAGGAGTGGAATTCTTTGCCTGGGTCTGTATTTCCTAAAAGGTACAACCTGGGTGTCTTCAAGGCTCTATCGTAGACCGCATCATCGTTTACCACCAGACGAGATAGTGGGCGAACGTCGGAACATCAAATATAAAAAAATGTCTAGGGCTTCTTATCCGGTGCCGAAACCGATGTCAATACTTGGCTCAACAGTTTCTCTTAAAGGGACTAAAAGGAGGAATGCTTTAGACTTGTTCCTCTTTATTATTTAACAAAAAGTTTTTAATCAAAGAATTCAAAATATTTCTTCTACAAATCTGTCAGTGACATAAAATTCTGTCAGTACCGTACAAAGAATACAAAATTCTAAATTATTATAGTAATAATTTTATTTCATTTATTTTAGGACTTATTAATTAGAAGCAGAAATAACGATACACTGAAATTCTTGCGGGAAATGTTAGTACCTACGTACATGGTAACATGCTTTTATATGCATACACATGTAGACTCCATAGTCCTTATTTCTCATAGGGGTAGTACATACGTAAGGGGGAAGCTAGTCAATAAACTAAAGAGTGTTTGTATTACAACTTTCTTGAGACAAACTAAATTAATTACTATGTTTTCGGCTTACTCACGTAACGGCTTGACGAGGAACTCCACTAGTTTAAAGCATGGCATTCCGCGACCCGCAACATGGCGACTGTCGCCTTGCTGCTCATGAATATGAGCCTCTAGCATGGCTTGAAACTAGTCGAGTTCCTTATCAAACAGTTACGTGAGTAAGCCGAAAAGATAATAAACTAAAGGGTGATTTTATTTCTAAGTATGCGTTACTATATACATCATTGATAGAGTTGTTTTCTTAAGGCCAATACCCCACGGTGACGACTGGCAGGCTTCATATCGGCCTGATCTGTGTTACCCCTGTCTAAGGCTCCTGAAGATGTCCGTAAGTATACTAGGGTTCCTATTGATCATCAGCCTGTTTCCGCCCACTGCTGGAGATAAACTTCTTCAATAGCACGTTTGTGAACCCGGTTCTTCATCTCTTCGTATCCAACCACTGCTAGGCCTCTGATATTCGATGGTAACGATACTGGAGCCAAGTGTTGTTTCATCTTTTGTTATTCTTCATCATATTTTTTTATGGAAAAAGCTGGTTAACTAGGAGACGAATCACCGATAAGCAATCGGCACCGCCCATGGACACCTGAAACACCAGAGGTGTTTTAAATGTGTTACTGGCCTTTTGGGAATTAGGCATTTAGAATTGTTAGGGATTCTGGGATTGGGAAGGGGGTAATTGGGCCTCCGGTAACCTCACTCACACGTGTTGTTTCACGTGCGTCGGTTTTCTGTGAGTCCATGGTATCCCTCCATATCAGCCATAAGGCGTCCTGGAGACCCTAGGATTCTGCTATCAGCTTAAAATAGCTCAAATATTTGAAAACGATGTAAGATTTATCAATCAAGATGAAAAGCATGCATTGGTACGCAAGAGCGAACTGACGGACTCGACCGGAATGATAAGACAACATAACCACACAGAAAACTGGCGGCAGAGTGATCCAAACCTATTCCTTCTGCTCTACTCCGGTGTTACGGGTGGTTTGGAGATCAGACTGTTTGTCTGCCAACCTGTCCCACGAAAAAAAGCTGTTGTCTTTGTTCCAGCAAATTCCATCAGACAGTCAGTAAGGTCAAAGTGAATGGCGGGCGAGGGGATGGTGGCGGTGGTGCGCGGGCTACGGGACGCCGGACTGGCCGTCACACTGCTCGACGGTAACCGTCAGTACACGCTACTGCCTAATTCTAGTGAGAATATTATGTGTTAAATACTTATGCGGGTCTTTCAAGAGGGGGTGAAGTGGTCATGAAGAGAATTGGAGTACCACTTTTTTTGTCTTCTATCTTTTCCCAGTGGTTTTCAATCATAGTCTTTACTAGATTTTGTATATTAGTAAGATATGTCCAATTCTCTGCTTGCAATGAGATTAGAGAGTATGGGGTTCTGAAATCTATATCGCGCTGTTGAAATCAGTTCTTGAGTCAGAAGTTCAGTATGTGCAAGTTCTTGGTTGGCATATGCTGAACTGGTAATAGTTATAGATGTTTTATCTCACGAGCGCGGGTGCGCCATACTTGTGTGGGTAAATGTACACGCACATTGTCTTTGTTTGCGTACGCTCGGGAACGCCCAGTTTTGGCCGGCATACCAATTAATGAGCTTGCTGCGAGTTATGCACACAAGCGCGCGTGTCTATACGTATTACAACTACAAATATGGCTCACCCACGCTCGTGAGATAAAAGAACTATACATTACTGCACAATTTATCATTTTGTGTCAATAAATATTATTGGCTGAGGTTCAACAGAAGACGTTTTGGTAAAAATTGTCAACATTACCAAAAGAGTGAATTATAGAAAAACTGTAAAACCTTCCCAGGTGTCATTTCTGTACAATTCGCGCCTAAAGTAGATCTAATAGTAGTCTATATATATACCGAAACAGCCATCAGACCACTACGGACGGGACCCAATAGGGCTAATGCCGATACGGAGCCTCGGAGGACTTAACGGGTTGCCGGGGCTCCGGCTCGAAGTGCAGGAGTAACAACGGGGAGGTTTTTAGGCAGTAAGAGTCTGACACTTACTCCCGCCTCACCCGGGCGGAAGAAATCATTCGATGATTTAAAAAAAAAACCCACAAATCTCCAATCTCAACAAAATCTCCTTAGTAACGGCGCCAGCGTCTACGCAGCGCCACCCAACGAACGCCAATGCGTCTACGCAGCCGATCCCGCGTATAATGTCGGAAAGTAGTACTGAGTCGGCGGCGCTCCATTGCGATAGAGACGCCCAGGCTGTTGATGGGAGATATACTTCTATGTATAAGGTAGGTATGGTTGGATTTTTAAGTTACAATTACATGAGTTTAGGCTGCTAAACGTATTGAATGTGGGTTTGAAGTTCCATTCTCGAGCCTGGAAATTTTTATTAGCTAGCGGCTTCGCCTGTGTTCAGCGTACAGGAGGATAAGAAGTAGCCTATGAGTTATTCTACATCATGTTCTACCTCTGATACAAATTTCAATCCGATCCCTTTGACCGTTTTGAAGTGATTGAGAATTTGTAAACACGCAAACTTTCGTATTTATCACTAACTAGCTGACCCGGCAAACTTCGTACCGCCTATAAATGCTTTTATCACCTTTTAAACCTTCCCTGGACTTCAGCGAACATTTAAAGACCGAAATTGGCCAAATCGGTTCAGCCATTCTCGAGTTTTAGCGAGACTAACGAACAGAAATTCATTTTTATTTATATAGATTCCTCAAAACCTCCACATATTATAAAAGTATTTCTTTGTGTCTGTCTTTCTGTATGAATGCCATATTATTTTATTTTTAGTCCGTCCCACTGTTGGGCAAAGATCTATCTACCCTCCTTCCATTGATAAATTTAAAAACTGCATTACGGATAGTTGTAGGATATTCAACGATAGATAGTGTAATTTCAGAAAAGAGGAAGTAGGGTAGGAATTCGAGGGAGGAAACATAACATAACATAACATTACGCCTTTTTGTCCCCGAAGGGGTAGGCAGAGGTGCACATTATGCCACTGTACAATGTAACACCCACTTTCCACTATTTATGTTATGAGTCCCATGTAATACGGGGTGAGCCTATTGCCATATACCGGGCACAATTCCAGACTCCGTGCTACTACTGAGAATTTTTAAAAACCCAGTAATACTTTGCCCGATCCGGGAATCGAACCCGAGACCCCTTGCCCGGCAGTCGCACTTGCTACCACTCGGCCAACGAGGCAGTCAACCTAGGACCTAACCGAGGGAGGAAACCTAGTATTCATTAATTCCCTTTTGTTTACCTCTAGACAATGCATTGCAACGTCCGTCCGACCTCACCTCCGGTTCAGTTAACTGAATTCCCACCGCAGAGACCGGACCTCTGTCCAGGTAAGCTTCAGACAGCATACATCAAAGCCCGTTTTCACTAACCTCACCTAAATGTTAAGGGACCCCTGAGATAAGATAGGTGACACTTAATTTCAATTAGGTTTCAACCAATCCGTACGTGACATCTAAAGTTACAGATAAGGAGTTAGTTTAGGTTACCTCACGGTAAGTGACTCTTAGTTAAAAGATGGTTTAGGGGTATTTGGTGAGTACAAGCGTTAGTCTTTTAATTGAAAGTTTAACCTCTCGCGTGTTTCTCGAGAGAGTTGAGTGCCCATCGCGCAATCGTACGAGAAACGTGCACCGATTGGATATTTTTTCAGTGACGTATATTTTCAAGTTTGCAACCCGTTCTTTATTTGATTGAACAGAATAGTTAATTCGCTTTTTTACTTTTCTACTTCTTACACCCGTGTGTACGAGAAGCGCGCGAGAAGACGTACAATGTAATTGAAGTCGCCATCTACACCAGGTCACGGTAACTTCCAAGTGGGTGGTAATGGCAGTGGTGTGGTCAACCCTCATGGGAAACCGACTTCATCATCCGCGAGCTTCAGAGGAGGACTATCATGGCCAGATAGAGGTAAGCTCTCTAGTCGTATTTTTCTTTAAATGCAGCAACAGTAAGTGGCGAGTTGTCATTCGACGTGGAGGACTGAGAGGCAGGTCTTTGTTCAGAAGTGGATGTCTTTCAGCTCATAAAGATGACATCCACAACCGCTGGATGAAGCTTGTTTCCAACCAGTCTATCTTGAGAATATGGCGGAAGGCCTATGTTCAGAAGTTGTTGCAATAGAATTTCCGATCTCAAAATTGTTTACTCTCTCAAAAAAGTCTCAAAGTTATATCTTTGTTTTGTTATTTTAATAATAGTTTGTTAGTAAGTAGATACTGAATAGGTGTTAAGTAAGATATGGTTTTTGATTCATTGTGAGTATTCAATTTTAAGTGTTTCATATAAGAATTTGATTTTTATGATTCAGTTACTCAGTAGTTGGCCATGTTAAACAGTTAAATTTGTAGGGGAAACTTTATTGTATTAGTATATAGGTATGTATAAGTGTTAAGTTTTAATTTAAACTGTCAAACACCAAGCGGTCACCGGTGACCGCAACCTATTGTACTATAATTGTGTCTACAAAACCGGTACTCGACGAGTTAATTTATAATTAAGTAATAAGTAATTACTAAAAGATGTGGTAAGACTGATGGCTACACTATCGTATTGGAATGTATCTGTAATGGTAGTTGTTAGTGCATTAAATAAGTAAATAAATAAAAAATAAATAAAAATAAAAAAAGTTGCTAATGTTGTGTTGGTTGATTAATGACTTAGACTGGTACTAAACCAGTCAGAGAACTTAACGGGTTACCGGGGCTCCGGCTCGAAGTGCAGGAGAAGGAACGGGGTGGTTTTTAGTCAGTAAGAGTCTGACACTCCCTCCCGCCTCACCCAGGCAAGAGAAGTCATTCGATGATTTACCCTCCTTAAAAAAAGAGTAGTTTAGGTTTTACTTGTATTTATTTTAATTACATTATGTACAGACCACACGATGTGAATGCACACCAAAATATGACAGATAGACAGCGTGCTCCGTGACATCTGTTGGTTCTTATATACAGTGAAACTTGGTTAAGTGGGACCTGGATAAGTGAGAAACCTCCATAACTGGAACTCATGCTGAGGTCCCAACACTTTGGCACTGAATTACCTCTGTTAGTGGTTCGAGGTAAACCTCTATATCTGGGATTTGTTCTTTCGATTTATCATCATAGAGGTAGTTATCTCTATAACTGAGACAGCGAGTAAATTTTATATGCATAACCCTCTGTAACTGAGATAACATTGTTTGTTTACTCATTCTTATTGTACCCACAAATTCCACACGTAATTCCAAGTCCACCTCTATTAATCGAACCCTCTGTAAATGAGACAGATATTTATTTATACCTGTATATCTGAGACACTGGGTAAGTGGAACACCTCTTTAAGTGAAACGACATTGCAGGTCCCTTGATGTCTCACTTGACCAGGTTTCACTGTAGTACAATATAATGAGGGGGCCATAACTTACTAAAGTAGTAATGTTAATACATGCTGACGTGTCGGTTAACATCTCCTGACAATCCACTAGTGGACTATGGGCCTGCTAATACTGCTATAAACATTGTTGGCATAAATTTCGTCATAAGCGCGTTGAAATCATCAGAAGGTGTTAACATAACATACACAACATCACGCCTTTTAGCCCCGAATGGATAGGCAGAGGTGCACATAATGCTTCTGTACAATGTAACACCCACTTTTTACTATTTATGTTATGAGTCCCATGTAATAGGGGGTGAGCCTATTGCCATATACTGGGCACATTTCCAGACTCCGTGCTACTACTGAGCATATTTTTAAAAACTCAGTAATACTTTGCCCGACCCGGGAATCGAACCCGAGACCCATTGCCCGGCAGTCGCACTTGCGACCACTCGGCCAACAATGCAGTCAGAAGGTGTTAAATGTACTTATTATGCTCTTTCATCACCTCATGGCTTGCATGGATTATGTATTTTTTTTTTTAACGGGGGAAAATCATCGAATGACTGCTCCCGCCTGGGTGAGGCGGGAGGGAGTGTCAGACTCTTACTGACTAAAAACCATCCCGTTCCTTCTTCTGCACGTCGAGTCGGAGCCCCGGTTACCCGTTAGGTTCTCCGCGACATGGCTTATGTATAGCTCGCCGTATTCCGAGCATATCAAAAATATCTCATAATAACACATAATTTCACGCCTTTTTATCCCCGAATAGGTTAGGCTGAGGTGCAAATTACGGTACTTAAACTGTCAAACACCAAGCGGTCACCGGTGACCGCAACCTATTGTTCTTTAATTGTGTCTATAATAACGGTATTCGACGAGTTAATGCCACTGTACAATGTAACACCCACTTTTCACTATTTTATGTCATTAGTCCCATGTAATATTTCCAAACACCAAAACCAATAATACATGCCTGACTCAGGAATCGAACCCGAGACCCCTTGCCTGGCAGTCGCACTTACGACCTCTCGACCAATGGGACAGTCAACAAAAATATCATCCTCTTATATAACATGAGACTAATATAACAACTAGTCTAAGATACGTTTTCATAAGTCTTGACCTACTACAGTTAGCTATCAATCCCTCCAGGGTCTGTCTGCTCTGCTCGACCGTCGATGGAGGTGGATGCCTTCGCCAACTCCTTGAGGAAGTACCCCTGCCTCTCACCAGAGAGGTCTTCGGAAGTCATGGAGAGACTTATCAATTATCAAGGAAAGGGCTGTAAGTATACGGGTCGTATTTAAAATCAATTACGCTGTTATACAATGATCTAATTGTATGTATTTGTTTTTGTAGTTTTCAATGAAAATTTTGGTGTCCCTGATTTATGAAATTTCGTACGAAATTCTCAGCTAGACGAGACGAGAAAACATCAAAAAAACTGCAAAACACAAAAAAACAACAGTTATCATGTAAAATTAATTAGGTTGTACGGCTTTTTTTATGGCATATTTATGGCATAATCCGGTAAACAAGCAGACAGATCACCTGATGGTAAGCAATCGGCGTCGCCCATGGACACCTGGAACAGCAGAGGCGTTACAAGCGCGTTACCGGCATTTGGGGATTAGGAGTTTGAGGATCGTTGGGGATTCATGAATTGGGGAGATTGGGGAAGGGGAGGGTAATTGGGCCTCCGTTAACCTCACTCACATGACGAAACACAACGCAAGCGTTGTTTCAAGCCATAACTGGGACCCATAAACGGCGAGTGTGCGCAAATAACAGAGTTAGCCATATAACGACAGACATAATACAAAGAGATCAGGTTAGAATTTCTCTTTTTCCCTCCAGACTCAAAAACATCAACCCGAAACCAAGCCTCCCCTACCCGCATAGACTCCTACCCATGCTCCTACCATACTCTAGAATCTAAAGGCACATACACAAAGAGCCCCCGTCTCTATGACCAAGAGATCACACCACGTAGGAGAATGGAGGAGCCGACAAGAGAGAGAAAGAGAGAAGACTCTTACGATATGAGAAATATGAGGAATTTTGAAGTGAGATCTGTCAGAGATATGACGAGGAAGGGAAGGGATAATGTGAGGAGTTATTCTGGTACTGTACGTTAGAGCTGATCTGCAAGTCTTTGGGGGAGGCCTATGGGTTATGATGATGATAAAGTCAGGGCTAGTCTGTTGCTTAAGAGATAGGTAGAGAATCATGGTACCAGTATTGCTTATTAGTATTGATTTAAACTGTCAAACACCAAGCGGTCACCGGTAACCGCAACCTATTGTTCTATAATTGTGTCTATAATGACGGTACTCGACGAGTTAAAAGGGTCATAATGGCGAAGAATTTGCAAATAGTTGTGGTTAGAGCCCTTTGCTTGATATTTGAACTTCTGATTACTCTATCAATGAAGACAGTTTAAGTTCAGAAGCTTACAAATAGTTTTTGGGGTTTTCGACTTTTGTGACTGTCAGCTCAATCGCTGCATCGTCATCTGGATGCAGGTTGCTTCTAAGCGGCTGATCTGGAAGTCACTGGGGAAGGCCTAAAGGTCACTGGGGAAGGCCTAAAGGCTCGTACACAAAACTGCGATGCGACGTCGCATCGCAAAAATGTGCGAGCTCCCTCTACGCATCGCAAGAACTTACAAATTGATTCTCATCGCGCATAAAAATCTTATCTTCCTAAAATTTTCTCTATTTCTTATTCCTGTATCTCCTAAGCAATAACAGAAGTGCACACTTCTTTTTACGATCCATGTCACGATTTAGTTTTCAATTTAAAATACGTTTAGTACGGTTGACGGTCGTCGAGGGAATGGTCACCCAGGGAGACGCCTTGTCGCACGAAATCGCATCGCAGCAATTCGCATCGTAATTTTTTGCGTTGCGAATTCGCATCGCATCGAATTTTGTGTACGAGCCCTACCTAGGTTTAGTAGTAGAATCAATAATGCAGTAAAATTAATTTAATCACAATCTCTTCTAACAATTGGTTTTGAACTTGGTTTTATAAAGCAAATATTATCATTTCACTCTTCAATTATCGTTTAATTTGACAGCCGTACTGCAATCCCGCTTGCCCAACTATCAAAGAAACCCAAGACTACCAGCCTATCCCACAAGAATATCAAAATGTAAGTACAAAATACATTTTTTTTTCTGCATCATCTATATATCATCTATGTATCATTGTTTTCCTTTCATTTAACATATAAAGTTTGTTAGAGATTTCATCTTTTTTGTTTTCTTTGTTCATGCCATGTTACACACAGTGTCTTATATTTTACTGTTTTTCCTGTCGAAGGACTGCAGGAAGAGATTCCTATGGGAATATCTAGTACCTATTTACGTCCAATTTATTTATATATGTTTTCTCCTGTGTAGGTACTGTCTGTGTGTTGTGATATTTATCTTATAATATGAACGATACCCTTTCTATTGTTGCAGAGTTCGAATTCAGTGAATATGGAAATTCAAGGTTAGTTAGCAGTTAGTTTGTTTACGTTACCTAAGCATTTTAGTTAAAATATTTAAATTGTTATCATAGCCATGGGGCTATGTACTGCTACTACTTCTACGTACTATCGCTATGTTATCGGCTATGTACTAATACTACTAATGCTTATAGAAGTAAGGAGATAATAACAACACGGTTACTGCGGTGGCTGGGCAACTGGCTGCCACGCAATTGTTTTTTTTTTACATTATCTATTTTACTGTATGTACATTTAACGAGAAAACCGTTAGATATGTACAAAATTAAACTACTCACAATTTTCTATAATTTATGTCGCGATAGATTTTTAGTAATACTTATTAGTATTTTTGGCGCCAAAGTACCGCGAAGTACAGTTTTAAGAGCTTTTTGGAAAAAAAAACACCTCGTCAAAGTAGAGCAAGCGGCGCGGTTTCATAATAGTGTAGTCGTTTATAGGTCTAAAGCCAAAACAAAGTTGAATCAACCTGTTGCGGAATTGCTGGCAACATGCTTTTCCCCAATGAGTGAGGAGTCATTCGATGGTTTTCCCCCCTTAAAAAAGCGCTTGTCTACAGAGAGAGTAGAAATCAAAATGTATGGGGATGACACTGACAAGTGTCAAAATTTACGTCAATTCCATATAATTTGGTTTTCTATTCTACATGTAGACAAGCGCTAAATGGCATTTGGCTACAGCTGCTGTTGTGGACATTAATTTACACGTATTTTTGTTTTAACAGCTGCAGTTAAAATGATATCCAAAGAAGTAGCCACCGTACAACGAGACAGACTCATGAGAAAAACCGTAAGAGATTTATATGTTTTATATCTTTTAGATTTAGGGTTTGATTGTCAAAATTGTAAATTAAATCCATCTGATGATGAAAATGATATAATGAAGATAGGAACCCAAGCTAAAAAATAGATCTCAATGACGAAAAACGAAATTATGTAGGTAGTTTATAGGTAAAACAATGTTTTTGATTGTTTCTGTATTTTCATGATTACCACAGCAGATTTAGATTTTACCATAAACATAAGAACGAGAGGCTCTTAACAAATTTTCTTATTTAAAAAAAGTTGAGCGTAGTAAAAACGATATTAGGTATGTAATTGGGTACTTTCCTTAATCAAAAATAAATTATACTGTTCAATACAATAAAATATTAAAAAATAATCACAATCTCGTACAAAATTTATAGAAAACATATTTAACAGTTGGAAAAAGTATTGAATTTGACTAGTTGACAAGTACCCAATTATATGTAACAGTCTTCTGGCATCTGGGCTTTAATATATTTCTTGCAGGTAGCCGTCCCCGAGTCCCCTACCATGTCAGCTACAGAAGACAACGTGGAAGGTGAATGCTACCTCGTTCGAAAACTGGACACAAGCATGTCTATTAAATCTATTCAGACTAGTTTCTTCCCATCCGACAGTACTCTTAAGCCTAGGAAATCAGCCCAAACCATAGCTAGCACTTTAGACTTTCAATCCACTCGCCATAAAACTGTAATCAGTAGGAAATCTAAATCACAAGAACAAATTAAAATAACTAAAGAAGAACTAAAAAGGAGTCTCCTTGAACTCATTGAGGAGGTCTCTAAAACTAGTAAATGTAAAAAACTTATTCGCGATGAACTAATAAAAAAACTATTTGAATCTAACGGCCATCAGAAATCCAGCAAAGATGATAGGCGTTACAAAAAACGTGAACAATGTCACAAGTACGCGTCAACATTCTGTCCAACCGCTTGCGACTATGTAGGTGATTACCAAGAATTGCTAGGTCAACTTAAACATTGCTATGGTGACACGCAACAAGTTTTAAGAACAGAAGTCACGCCCTTCAGAATATCTGAGTACAAACAGCTCGACTTCGTACTTAAAGATTGGATACACAACCTAGACATTAAAACCGTGGACCAAGATTACACAGATAGAAGAGAATTACTTAATTCTTTAGAAGAAAGAATCAAAGTAATCTTCAAAAATAGGACTAAACAAGACTTCGATTTAAAATCGGCAATAGTTAATACTATAGAAGAAGTACCCATTGAAGTGAATAGCAGTTATAACAGATCTGATTATTTACACAGGCTTGTTGATGTGTTGATGAAAAGGATGAAAAATGTAATAATGGGTCAACAACATGGCAGGAGTCGGAAAAAACAGTGCAATAAATTCAAAAAAGTTCTAACTGAAGCAGATTTTAGAGAATTCATTAGAGAGCACTTGTTTGATTTTTTTAACGAGTACGGTTTAGGAACATGCGACCAAATGTTAGTCAATTTAGAAAATGAATTACTCGATGTAATAATCGATACAATTGATTGCATCCGATGCGGCCACATTGAGGACGCCAGGATTGAGATGAATTTAATATTTCAAGAATTGGCAAACTTAACAGAGAAACAAGCAAAATACGCTGCAAGCATGATGCTCAGAGATTTACAGGAGGTGCTGAATCATTGTAATTTCAACCATACTTACATGGTTCTCAATATGAATAACAACTCTGGTCCGTCCAATAGAAGTAATTATAATGAGAGTATTGAACGTATTACTAGTGATGATTTGCGTATGAACTTAGACCGTTATGCGAACCAACTGTGCCAGCAAATCAACCAATGGTTGGATAACTTAGACATACCACAAATACAAGACTCAGGCATCAGAGAAGTGATGGTCAATGACTTAGCAGGAGATATTATAGACAGATTGAAGTACGTAGAACTGAATCACACGATCAAAAACAAAGATGAAGATGAATTAGAAGCTCTCAAATATCAAATATTTAAATGGATTAACAAGGCAGTTGGAGACGATAATCAAGAAACTATTGGAAACGCCAGACAATTATTAGACAAAATCCGGAGTCTGCCTGTTCCAATACTAATCCACCCAAAGACCCCTCGTTTTACAATAATAGAATGCCCTAATCCAGAATGTTATGGTGACCCTATGAGGCCGTGTTTAGGAGAAACTGGAGCTGGCACTTGTAGTGAGATAAATAGAATACTAAGACCTCCAAAACCAGAGGAGGTCCCTCGCACTGTTGGCCCGTGCTGTGACAGGGAAACTTGTCCTGAAGTAGTTAAAAGTAAAAATCCAGCAACAGGTCAAAGCAAACCATACTCCACCAACGAAGATCATTATCGTCGAGGTCCACAAGCAGAAACACAATTACCATCTCAAGGACAACCACAAACATATGCTAACGCTTACCAATCACCACGAACCCAAGGTAGTGACAGAGACAGAGACAGGTATTCTAGTGGCCCAGACAGTCAACACAGTCAAGATCAGAATTTTGTCACAGGCCAAAACAAACCATATTCCACCAACGAAGATTATTATCGTCGAAGTCCAGAACCAGAAACATCATTACCACCTCAACGGCAACCACAAACATTTGATAACGGTTATCAATCACCACAAATACAAGGCAGTGACAGAGACAAGTATTCTATTGGCCCAGACAGTCATCACAGTCAAGATCGGAGTTTTGGCCTGGACCATGAGCCACCACAAGCATTTCCTGGTGCTTACCAATCACCACAACGTCAGGCTGGTGATAATGGTAAGTGTTTCACTATACCGGATAGTGGAAAGGGAAAGCAGTTCCCTTACAATCAAGATCAGAGTTTTGGCGGTGGTCAGACATCTGGATCTTCTAATAGAGAATGGGCTTCAAATATTAATGATAAATCTGATGCGTATGGTCCTATGGGGTCAAAAAGTCCCTTTACGAATGAGCGAAAACAGCAATCAATGCTTGATGCCGGAGTAGGACCCAGTGGTGTAACGACTAGTCCTCAAGGTGCACAGACATCAGTTCCAATGGCACCGGGATCAGCAAGGCCAACTCCACTACCATCAATCAAAAAAATATATGCGGACTATGACGCTTACCTTAAAGATTGGGTACAAAGGGTACCTATGCCAATGAATACACAATCTGAAAAACAGGCAGCAGATAAAGCTAGAATGGATCTTTACAATGGGGTATGGAAAACAATCACTAAAATGAAATTAGATCCAAAAATCTTCGGCAACCCACTATACTTCAAAGAAGTGTTTAATGACGAAATTGAAAAATTGATGAAAAATCTTCCAAAGTCAAAGCAACTAGAAATAGAAAAGCCTCCTCTCAAAGAGGAGCTTCTTAAAAAAACTTTAGAAATGAACGATCTGATTAGATCTCTTAATGTATCAGGCACGTACAAGCAACAAGTCATTGACTGCATAGAAAATAATTCACCGAGGAGACCACCTCTCGGCGACGAGACAGATCAGCAAAATGAAGAAATAGAGAAACATAATGTAGCTGAATACTACATACTTCACAGGAGATACAAAGATGATGATAACGTTAAAGCCAACTTCCATAAAAAGAATTTTCTTAAAAGTCTAGATGACTATCTGGAGAACATGAAGAAAAGACATGGTTTGATGGGCATGAAAACGTATGGATATGCCAATGAAATTATAAACTGTTTGGACAAAATTCCTATTCCAAATCTTCTTGCCTTAAGAGACGAGGCAGATGAGATATTACTAGGAATGGAGGTCGAAAATTGGATTGCAGATCTTCCTCAAGACTCCGACTCTACAGGGCCGTTAGATAAGAGAAGAATGAGAGACGCCATAGTAAAAAAAATTGAAGAAGTAGAAACATATGTTAACTGTTATGACAATGCTTTCGGTGATCAGTTAAAGGCAGACGTACCAAAATATATTGAAAGGATACCAATAAAAAAGAATACTAATATCAATTTTGTAATTGATGAATTAGTAAACAGAATTCGGAACTTAGAAAATATGAAATCTCTACGACCTAGATCCGTGTCTTTCCAGGACCCACGAGATTATGAAGATTTTACCAGGGATGTGCCACGAGCATCCAGTTTCCACGACACACCTGGGCAGGGCAATTCTTATTACGTTGGTGGGTACAATGCAGATGACCCACGAAGTTGGGCCAGTAATGTACCTGCGGACGATCAATGGCAGTCTATGCAAGCTACCAGAGTGCCCCCGGATCTTCGTGACTGGTCTCAAACTGCTCCATCAGAATCATACGCCTACTCTCGAAATCTTCCAAGCCAAGTTGCTGCACAACCAGGTCAACCTCGTAGTGACTATGGATCTCCCCGTCTTTCACCTCCAGGTCAATTTCCACCTGGCCAAGAATATTACAACCCTAGTGCCCAAAGTGTCATACCGCCGTCACATCCCCCTATACATCAAGAACAATTTGATCCATATAATCCAAGTGACGTATGTATGGGTCCATGCTGCCTAAACCCAGTTTGTGTTAGCAAACTTCAAGGTTACATGAGACCAATGCAGTATTCACAACCAAGCGCTTCACCGTTTATCTCACCAGGAGGGTATGCACCCGGAATGCCGGGGCAAACAGGAGGGCCTCCTCCAGATGCTGCTGTACCCGGCCAGTTACCTCCGTCTTACGGTCACGCAAATCTCAATCCATACAGCTGTGAGTCTAACCAACCGGTAATTCGATGCCGAGGGCCAATAGCAAGATATCACCCAGAACAATATCAACATCCAGTTACACCGTACTCTCGAGTGATGCCACCAACACATCCTCCTCTTTCTCGTCCGAGTGTTCCTCAGCAGCCACCACCACAAGTTCAAGCCCAAGGACCACAACAATTACAAGATATTCCAGCTCCTCAGAATAAAAGGTATACTCTCGGAACATCCGTAGCTCCCCAGGAGAGACGTCCCTCAGAGCCTCATGTTTCAAAAGGTCCTGTTCAATCAACATCAATGGAAAAAGAATCTGTAAGACCACCAATAAGCTCTCAGGGTCGCCACTCCTTAGGACACTACGTCCAAAGTAATCCAAATGATCCTAATAATATAATACCCGATACGAGAAGAACTCCCCAAGTATCAGCTGTAAGTCCACAGGAAAGACGTTTTTCAGAGTTTCCTAAGCTAAGTGTACCAAACAGTCAGTATACATCATCAGAAGTTAAAATGTATTCAAAAAAGCCAGTCGATCTTCAGGACAAACGTTACACGGAGCCACATATCCAAAATATACCCGGTAATTATATTGACACACAAACTGAACCGAGTCAAAAAAGTCATGGAACATCAGTCAGCCCTCAGGAAAGTCGATATTCGAAGCCACAGACTCAAAGTATCCCAAATACTGATAGGCCATCTGAAATTAAAAAGATATCCCAAGCAACGTCGATCAGCCCTCAGGAAAGTCAATATTCAGAACAACTAAGTCCGAGTATTTCGAGTAAACAGCAAAGGCCTTTCTCTGAAACTCAAAGTCGAAGTGTCACTTCTAATTATAATGACTTACCACCCGAAACAAAAAAATATACCCAACTACCAGCTGCCAGCACTCAGGAAACACAATACCCTGAGCGTCAGAGCCAAGTTCCAAATGCACAACCTGAATTAAAAAGAACTTCACATGAACGAGTTGTTCCTCGGGAAAGAGGAACGGCAGGGCCTAATGAGCAAACGTATGTAAATGATCAAGCGGTACCCCATATCAGGACCAATCGAGATGTATCGACACAAATCGGCTCAAGGGATTCTAAAGTGTCATCTCAAATAGTTCCCCCTGAAGAAAAAGCTTCAAGTATCCCTAGTGAAGGAATACCTCAAAGTCCACTTAATTTGCCTCCAACAGACCAAAGGTACTCTGAAGTACAGAATGTAGTTCCTGAGGAGCAAGTCTCCCAACTTAACGAACAAAAGCCCCCATCTTTGCTTAGTTCAGCACCAGTAAGTAGAATGACTTCATTGGATCAAGGATCCCAGCTACCATATAACCAAGGTGACTCAATACGACTTCCTAGTTATAAAACAGGAGGACAAGATTTTCAGGCTGAATCAATTCCACCCATTTATGAAGAACCTAAATCACACGATCAAACTTTCCCAGGCGCTCCAATGCAAGATCCTTACAATAATTACCAATATGTTAGTTCTCAGGAACCTGAAGGTCAATTGACGTATCAAGAACCACGTGTAACAACAATGGGAGATACCGAAGTTTCTTACGAACAACCTATTATAATTATTCCAGGAAGTCCAACCCACATTATTCCATATGACCAAATGCAACCAAAGGGCTATTCAACTCCTAACAGTCACGTTGTCACTTATGAACCTGCTTATCAAATGGACTCCGGTAGTCCACATCACACTGGTGGGTTAAATAACCCACCTCAATCTAGCGAAATTATTCCTTACGTCCGAGTTATTGAAAGTGATCAAACTAGTCAACCAATTCGGTATGACCAAATTTCGTTCAATGATAGAGTAAAGCCCCAAAGTGACTTTGTTCCGTATAGCCAGGCTATAGAAATAGAAGCACGGAGTCCAAATCAAGTAGAACAGTATCCTCCCAATATGGCGTATGAGTATATTCCTGATTCAATCTCAATTGAGAAAACTCGTTTCAGTCCCGCGCCGGTATCAGCCGCGAGTCAAGTGCCGGAGCAAATTCTAGAAGTATATGCACCGGAATTTGATGCTGAGCCAGGCCCGAGTGCTACCGAGTCTGAGGAGCAGCCAAGTTTTCACAAGTCCACAGACAGTACAGGTATACGGAAAACAATAGATTATCGGAAGCCACCGGGAATGATTTGTGATTGTGACAGTAGCCTTGTGCAACCTCAACAATGTATATGCACAGATATGTCTCAGCAACAGCAGGATGGCCCTTCGTTTTATGTATGTGCAAGTGGTCCTGAAGGTCAAATGTGCTACGGGCCTGCATGCGGTCCCGGTTGTCCTCAGCAGCCATGCCCAAATGCTTCACAGCATCAGACATGCCAAACTGGTGCTGCTTATCATATCTGCACAGGTACTTCTATAGAGCAAATGTGTCGAAGTGGTGGTCTGCGCAGACTGCTCACACAACCTAAGAAGTCTCTTAAAAAAATGCGTGGCACGCGACATACTGTCGATGCGGTGCCTTTCAACCGAGTGATGGATTTGGATGATACGGATACAAGCATGGATAGGTGTAAGTGTATTAATCGGGGAAAAAAGTGCAGAGCGCGCAAGCAGAACCAGGATCCCCAAGGCGGCTGTCGACCTTGTACACCGACGATGCGGTATCCACCGCGACGCAATTGATCCATATATTAGTAATTTCATTCTTCATTCCATGTTTAGTATACTTGTCATTTTCATTTAGACCTTATTTTGAAGACTGACTTAGTTTAAATTTCGTTTGTTATTTCTATATTTAGCTAATAAAATAAACTCATGGTTTTATTATCAACCAATTGGGTACCTAATATTATGGTGTAACTAGGTTTTATACAATTCTTTGGATTTTATTAATGGAAATAAATAAATTATACATCAGCCAATATTGTGAATTGTTATTTCAGAATTTGGTTTATAGTTTTTTACTCCGGTAAGCATAATATTTGATACTAATTGATATATTTGTGTTACAGATAACTCTATGTCATACTATAAAAAGGGAACTGTGAGTATTACTCAACAACCCGATAGCAAAGTTAATAGATTTTGACAAAAATGCAAGTAGATTATGTATTTAATTTCAGATACGAAGAGAAAATACTATAACAGAGCCAATTAATTGTAAAACAAAAAACCTGGATGATGACTGTGACATTTTCAACATTAAGTGCATACAAACTGCCTTTAGCAACGTTGATATAAGAACTACAAAATATTGTGAGATTAGGAGCAAGTCGCAAGAAGAATTGACAAAGATTACACAAAAACAGGAAGTCATTAAAAGAAGAGATCATAGCGGAGACTTTGAGCCAGATATGACAGAATGGTTTGAAATCCACAGCGACAAAGTTAAAGTTAAACTATGGGGAGATAAGTTAAAGAAATTAGCAGACAAATTGAAAAGGCCAGGTGGTGAAGAGAAAGTCAGGAATAAAATTGAAAAGTACTTGAAGCAGGTGCCTGAACAGTTTTCTGATGGTGACGATGATAAACTTACATTGAGGAAACAATTGCCGAACGATATTTTACGAAAACTGAAGAAAATGAAGTCCTCACCTATGGGCGCTAACAATATAAACGTGTATAGAATGGAACTATCAAAATATTGCAGCAGGTTCAAGGTTGAAAACTTCAGGAAGGCAGTTCTAAATTGGACTAAAACGTTAAATATCAAGAGAAAAGACTTCTTAGGGAGAAATGTGAAGAAAGAAGATGTACTCAAATACATAGCTGATAGATTAGAACCTATAGTATTAGATAGACCTCAGTCCGACGCAACATATAAAGCAGCATTAAAATCTAACATTACAGATATGATCAAAGAATTGCCTTTAGTTCTTAATACTCATAACAACGAATTTTACTTGAATAAGATCACAGAAAATCTTGTCAACGATATATTTAATATAGAAACTAAATTCCCTAGTACATATATACAACCTACGATAAAGGAAATAAAAGAATTTGTAAAAGATGAAATTACCTTTTTCTTGGAGAAATCCCGTGTAGCTATAAGCACCAAGAGGATGGAATACCTAGAATTAGAACTAATTGATATTTTGTTGGATCTTGTGAATGCTACAGACATTGATGAATACGTTATGGAGGATATTACAACACTTTTCAAAGTAGCAGGGAAGCTACCAGAATATAAGGCGAAATATTTCACTAATTTATTATTAAAAGATTATAAAGAATTCTTCTTTCGAGAGAGTTTCTTTCAAGTTAAAGGTAATTCTGATCATGGAAGACCAGACGTTTACTCTGTTTTCCATAATTTAAATGGTACAGAACATGCTAAAAAAGAAAATCACTTTAGTGAATATACACAACATCTTATTAATACAATTAACAAGTGGATTTCAAAATTAAATATTCTAAATAATGAGAAAAAGATTATTGAAGTAATAGTAAGAGATTTGGCTAATGATATAGTAGACAGACACAAATTTTTACTCTTAAACCCTAACAACCAACCAACAGATTTTGAAGAACTAGAATATTTGAAATTTCTAGTATTTAAATGGACAAATAAATTGCTTGGTGAAAGAAACATAACAATCTTAGAACAGGCTGACCAATTGATGCATGAAATCAAAACTATACCAAAACCCGCTATGGAGAATGCATGCCCACAATCGACCGTTACTCCTGATACTGATGGTCTTAATGATAAAAGTTATACTGACACACAAACGGAACAAATTTTAAAATGGTACCTAGATATGCCATCAGAACTTCAATTAAATGAAAATATAGATCCTATTGAATCAATCAAACACCTCGTTGAAGAAATCGAAAATGGTCTCTGTAATAGAGAAGATAGAGTTATCGACAAAGCAATAGGAAAGTGGATTGAAACAGGTTTTAAGAATAAATTAAATACTGACAAAGTACAACAGTTAACAAGCAAACTCAAAAGTGTACCTTACACAAAAGAAAATACAGAGAAAGATCCTAAACATGAGAAGGTTCTGATCAGATCATATGAAGATTTGGTAGACGACTGGATAGACACAGTACCCTTAGATCCCAAAAAAGTAGGAATTTTCACAGACAACAAAAATGAAATAGTTCACGATATAGCCGTTAAGATAAGTAAAATAAAAACAAAAATTAAGAATACACCCCTAGAAGTCATGCAAAGAAAATTGTCACAAGAATTATCGTATTGGTTAAAGAAATTACCGTTGCATGCCAAAGTAGACAAGGAAACTTTCAGAGATAAATACGCTGAGAAGTTGGTGCAGAAATTACAATTCTGTAATGTAGAAGAGTCGTTAACTAAAGCACCGGTAATGAATAATGTAACATTTCAGATTGAAGAAGTGTTGCTAGAATGGCTAAAGAGACGACCATTTTATAAAAACAAAACAACTGAAGTCAGGAAACATCAAGAAGACATAATTAAAGACTTAGGAAATAAGATAAAAGCTGGAGGATATAAAAATCCTTATCCTGATGAATATGTTCTCGAGTGTATAAAAAAATTAGAACCAAATCAGAACGATGACATAGTGCAGAACATAGCTTGTCAATTGAAATTGTTCTTAGATAAATTTAACATTAAAGATTCTAACACAGAGTGCACGAAGAAAAATAGTATTTTAAATAACAACATTGAACTTTGGCTGAACAAACTACCACTACATGTGACTGACGAGAACTTATTCAAAGAACAGAAAGCACAACTTATTGATAGTATACAATTATTGAAAACTTTAGGCTGTGACAGTTCCATTATGAAAAAAGAGATATTGATTTTCATGAAATCACTGCCTATGGACCGTGAAAAGAAAGAAGATATACATTTTATGAACCAAGAAGCTTCAAATCTTATAGAACATTTAAAAGAAATACCTGCCAATCCTGTGACAGAAGAAATAACGGTTGACAAGCCTGAAAATGAAACAGGTGATATTATCAAAGAATGGGTCAATTCCTTACCATTGAAAGCTGTATACTGTCCAAGAGAACTCCATTCCTTTTTAGATGATATGACTTCTGTAATAAATAGAATTATTTTAGACTCAAACACTACAGAACAACATAATGAAAAATTACACAAAGAGATAGTAAAATTTTTAAGAAGGTTTCCGTTAGAGAGTGATCAAAATACTGAGAATCATATGACAACAATGGCAGAAACACTCATTAAAAGTTTGAACAAAACTTTACCACCAAATAAAACATGTACTGAAACTAACGTCACTGTATATGCTCTGAAGAATACCAATTTAACTGCGTTTGGGCTCCCCAATGTACAAGATAGTGATATTAATGAGAATTCGAAGATATATACTAAACAGTTAACTAATCAAATAGGCGAATGGTTAGCTAACTTAGGCTTACCTACAGCGCTCAACGATAGCTATAGACAAGAAGCTATCAAAGATTTGGCTGGAGATATTGTGGATAGACATAAATATTTAGAACTAAACCCCTGTGCAAAAGAAAATGAATTAGAACATTTAAAGTATCAGATCTTTAAATGGATTAATAAATTAGTCGGTGAAGATAATCTTAAAACAATTACTCACGCTGATGATTTAATGCATAGAATTAACAAAATACCTGTACCAATGTTAGTAAGACCTCAAGATAAGATCCAAGCACAATCTGCTTTTTCTAACGCCAGATACCGGTCTGATGTAGTAGATTCCACGGTGGCTCGGCTTTCTTTAAGGGTAAAAAATAATATTAATACTACTACAAGCCCAATAGAAATGAATCCATGGCAACAAGTGTATCTACAGCAGGTCTATTCAAAGACTGGCGAGGCAAGCTATTCACCGCGTTCTGGAGTATACCAGACAAATAGTCCTACAAATTTATCTAACGCTTCACATTCTCATTCATATTCTTCAAGTTACTCGCAGTTTAGGCCACCTGACGAAGGCACCAAGGAAGCTGTTTACGAAAAATATCAAAAGATTTTCAGAGATAAATGTAATGCTTTGCCAATCGACTCTTCAACTGCCGAGAATGCCAAGCTAGCTGAATTAGCAAAGACCGCAATTTACAACGGAATCATTAAGACGTTTTTCAATTTGAAAGCTAATCCTGAAATTGAAAATGATTATGGATATTTTGAATTGATGCTAGAGGAGAAAATAGATGAAATGTTGGATGTTCTCCCACAATCTTCAGAACTAGTAAATCAAAGACACGCTTGGAAAGTTGGAATTCTTACAAATTCACTTGATATGTTAGAGCAGTTGCATAGTTTTTCGGACAGACCCTCTTTTAGGCAACGAGTCAGGAATAAGTTTAACAGAAAATTTGCTAAGGAATTAGAATTAGAGCAATGCTTTTTATTACAGCAGGGATTTTTGGCTGAAATGGCAGACGCATACATTCTAGAAACGAATTATAAAGAAAAAGATGAAGTGAAAGCCAATATTTATAAGAAAAGATTGATGAAGAAAGTCGATAACCTAGCCAACCATTTAGCTAAAGAACACAGTGTTGGATTTAGATTTTTTGACAAAGATCAACTGACTCATATTGCTATGAAAGTATTAGAACAAGTACCAAAACCAGGAGATGAAATTTTGCAAGAAGAAGCGGAAGAAATACAATTGGGGGATGAAGTAGAGAAATGGTACAAAGACTTGCCAACGAAACCTCTAGTCAATGATACTGATGGAGTATTAAGGAAAAGAATGATGGATTTACTAGCAAAAAAGTTGTACGACATACATAAACGTTTCAAAGATGACGAATCGCTTAAAGAAATGAAAATGAAGCATGAAATCAGTATGTTCCTTGAAAAACGAGCACAATTACAAGGTAGCCAAGATTTAAATATAAATGCAATGGTGGACGATCTAAATGATAGATTAAAAAACAGATGGTTGAAAGAACCACAAGATTACGAAGAGTTCGAAAGAGGTCGGCCTATTAGTTCTTCTTATGCACAAGTTAATAATAGAGACATTTCTTGTTCGTCAACGGAAGCTGGCACTTGTACAGGAGGACCACCGCAAGACGAGGAATATTTCATAAGACCTGTACAGCAAATACAAAATATGAATTCAGTTCATTCACCATCTGGTGCTAGTTATTATAGCAGACAAGAACAAAGTGGAAGACAGAGTTATGGGCCTATTTATGTGCAAAATCCTAGTTACGCAAATGAATCACCTAAAGGCAATACGTATGCTAGTAATTTGAGCACACACCACGCCCCTCAAGCTGTTCCCAGGTATAACACAGATCCAAGACATTCACTTCCTCCTTATGCAACTTGTGCTGGTCCAGAGACATGTTTTTCTCCACAAAGGGGTTCCTATAGCATGCAAGAACATCGCGGAAGTATAATGAGAACAAACAATAATTATGGCCCTAACCAATACGCACCAAAGCATGTGACTCTACCAAATACACAAAGACCAAACATGTCACAGATACCTGGTACGTCAGGCCAAGGCCAAGCATATGTGTCACATCAGAATCCTAATTTATCTCAGAATGTAGTCAACAATGTGCCTAATAGACACGGGATAATCCGGAGCAATCAGATGTCGCCACCAAGAAATGGTAATGTGAGTCAACAACAAAGACAACAAAGTCAAAGTCCACATATACATGGGCCTCCTAGACAGAACCCTAATATGTTGCAAGTTCCAAATTACCAGAGGCCTAGTCAAGGAACTCCTACAGCTCGATATGGGTCTCCAGGCATTCAGGGTCCATCAAGCCAGGGTGGCGCTACTGCCGATGGAGAAGATGATAATGGCGAATATAGATGTAGATGTTTGGGGTTATTCCGTCCGAGACGTATGTGTTTTGATCAGCACAGTGAAATGTATCATCCATGTCCTCAATAAATTGTGTGTGTTTTATATTTTATGTACCGTTTATGTTTGTGTTATTTGTGAATAAATTGTTTTTAATAATAGAAGTATATTTTATTTCAAAGGTACTGTGTCATAATTTTATGATATTAACAGTAATATACTGTCTAGGACATTAGCCTAAAATATAAAACCGCACCAGTGGATGGGTGTGACTGTGGGTGGGTCTTAAAAATAATAAGTGTTTGCCTGTGTGTTATCTTGTCTGTATGCGATGATCTTCGAAGGTTACTGAGTTGGTACGACTAATTTTCTGTAGACAGTCCAATAGTGTGCTTCCAAAGAACTTAAGTTAACGTTCTAAAATGGCGCAATATATCATATAGGGTACAGCTAGTAAAATAAAAATTACAAAATGTGATTATTTTAATGGTTTTTATTTAAGCAAAAATAACATCACAACAAAAAGGACAACACACCACTTACTCTCTGAAATACAAGAAGCTGGGATAGGGACAGTGCACACCGCAGCATTTAGAGCATCTGTTCCCATTACGGCCGTCCTGATCCCGGGAGGAATGCATACAGCCTGTCCTCATGGCCTTGGGGTAAACCCTCTCTTTGCACTTACAAGTCACTCTTTCTTCTCTTTCTTCCCTCTCCATCATCAGTGGCTCGTCTATTCCTTCATCCAAAATCACGCGCCTCATGCAAGGTGTACCCCAAAAGCTATCGTCTTCTGGATGCTGACCGTAAGACCAGTCAAAACTACTGTTATTTTTCTTTGCCCTCGGATGTTGTATATCATCTAAAGATCCTAACTCGGTGACTCTCTCCTTCCTGGATGGCCTGCTGTTAGTACAAGGAATTTGCTCTTGAAGACCGTTTCTTTTCACTCTATTGGAACAGCTTAATGGTGTGGACTCGTGATTCATTCCATAGGGCGACTGAGATCGGCTCATGCAGGGACTCTGCTGAGGAGACCGAGAGCGTGGGGTCGATCGTTGTGAAGATTGAGAAATTCTCTCTTGGAACGATCTCTGCGGAGACCAATGATAGAACCGTCCGACAGGCTTTGTGGGTTTTGTGTCAGGACCCTGAGTAATTGAGTGATCGTAGTTGCAAGGGACTCTATGAGGACTGGTGGATTGTTGTTGATAGTCGTGTTTATAACAGTCACGGTGGTACGGCGATTGGCTTGATTTTTTGTAGGGCGGTGTGCCAGCTTGGCAGGGCACAGTCTCTGTCTGTTTCCGATGATAGGGAGGGGTACTAGGACGTTGGTAGGATGCTGGCCGCTGGCAGGGGAAGTCTGAAGGATGACAGGTTCCAGGTCTAGACGGCGAAAAGGAAGAAGAATAAGGGGCACGAGCTTGTTGTGATCCAGAGTCCTGGAAGTTAGACTTTTCATTGGAATCCCAGTAGTACTTCTTTACGGTTATCTGAAAATATAAGCATTGGCTTTAGGTAATGTTGGTGTAATTATGATATGACAGTAACAGCAGACAGTGATCATAACATTGAAATTGACAGATATGTAATGGAATTTAGAATAATAACAAAATTTTGCGTCGTTGTTACCATAAGCGCAAACCTTGAAAAGTGATTGTTGATTGTCAAGTGCAGCTTGAAGTCGTTTTTTTTTATTAAGATTAAAGTTGGGAAAACATAATGCAGAATCAATTGTTGTGTCAACAAGTTCGCAATAATATTACATACTTGTGGCAGAACTTCTTCCTGTGCGTCACGCTGTAGTCTGGTACCAGATACTGTATGCCTCCTCAAACCGCACGGAGATCTTCGAGGCGAACTAGACATGCCTGGGCATGGTCTAGTCATCTTTTCATTGGTTCCTGTGCAAATTGAACTTTGTTTATCCTTGTCAAAACCCTGCGGCCTCAGTTCTGTTTGGCTTTGCGCATCCATTGGTTGCGGTCCAACTGCAGCACTGCATTTGTCATTTTTTAATAATGCTTTAACGCAATTTGGAGTTACGCATGATCTACGTCTTATTCTGTCCAAGTGAGCCTTGTCTTCAGCGCTTAGAGTGCATGGTGGGTACGAAGAACGTCTGGAACAAATTCTCTCTTGCGTCATGGCTGTCCTTCTATAATTCGAAGCAGCGCCACCTCGAGGACATGAACTGTCGCAGATATTTCCATATGCATCAATTTCATCGGAGCCATCATCAAATCTTCTCGATTCTTTCGATGAATTTAGTTTATCTATTAAATTATTTGCAAAGTGGTTGTTATCATTTTCAGATTTGAATGGCATTTTATGTAGGAATTTTATTATTTCCTTTCTCATAGGTTCGTCTGGCGAATCTTCAACTGCAGTTTCGATATCAAACAATTTCTTTGACAGTACGTAAATAAGTCTATTTCTGGCTAAGAGCTCGGAGGGGTTTTGATATTGTAGAGGCAATTCTTTAATCCATTCAATTATCACTTCTCTAATTCTTGCTTGTTCTACTTCATATCGGATAGAATCTCCAGAAGGTAGCGGTACACTAGTCAAAGCGTTAAAAAGCTCAAGGTTCAGCTGTTTATTACTCAGAGGTGATGCAGGATGTGAACTTAAGTAGTCATTACAAAACATGTGAATTTCACTCGTTATTTTTCTTTTCAATCGTGCTCTTAGATTTTCATCGTCTCCTGAATAATTTAAGTCTATGAAAGCGTCAGCCAGTTGATCTTTTAATAATTCCATAGCCGCATGTTCTTCTCTCGACATAGCACATGCGGGTGGTAGGATATTAGTCATTGCGTGGCGTAGTTTATTTTTATAATTCTGTCCAATAATCTCATCATGAGCTCTCTGTTGTGCAGATTTTACCTTATCAATTAGATCATCTTTGAGAGCTTTTATATTTGCATCAGTTATAGTAACATCGCCCAGCATATTCTGTAGCTCATCCTTAAGTACTTCTTCATATAGTGAGTCGTCGTTGAATATTTCTGGATCAATATTCATTTCTCCTAATTTGTGCACTAAGCTGTACGTCATACCTTTCTTCATATCCTTAATAGCTTCTTCATCTCTTGTGTCATCAGAAATGTGTAAGTTGTCTATCCAAGAGTCTATGTATTCGGTGAGACCACTGAAGCTCATTCCATAGCGGTGTCCTTTAGCTTTTGGTGGCAAACATAGAAATTTGTCGATAAGGTCTTCCACTTTCTTATCTTGTTGTTCTTCATTTTCTTTGTAATCAGGATGTAAAGGTATCTTTAGCAAGAAGGTCTTGGCATCTTCTCTAATTCTACCATAATCACTAGCTGGTAAAGCTTCCTTGATTTTTGGAATTAATTCGTTCTTTTGATGTACGAATCTCTTATAATCTTCATCACTGCTCATAGTGACTGGTATAGTACTAATCCAGTCATTAACTATTGTTGTAATATCATTCTCATCTCTAATATCATCTGTAATTTATTAAAATATTTTATTAGTAATGTATTTATTTATTTGACATGACACTTCTAGTTCTACAGGGTGTAAACGGAACGGTCCCAAAAAACACCGACGACTGTAGGCGATGGTAAAAAACAAGCTTTATTTTCGTAAAAGTAAGGAATTCAATGTTTCTTTAAATTTGTAACAATAGTTGTAATCAACTGCTCAAGGCTGATGTTGCATAATACGAAAACAAAAAAGATTATTGTCAGCGTTTCTGAAGCCATCCTTCTACACCCTGTATGCAGCAATACTCAATATTATTATTTATACGTCTCTAACTTTCTTCTCTTACACATCATTTCAGTTCCTTACCTTAGACGTTATTACACTTTCCAGATACGAAACTTAAGCTATTTGAGAACACAAATGTACATTACCACTGATATCCTCTGTTCTTTCACTCAAATGATGCAATGGAATGATTAATCCAGTACTTACCAAAGTAGAAAAATAAACTGAACAAGACGTTCGTCAAAGACTTAGATATACTTACAGCGCTTGTCAGATACACTCGAGAGCAAAGAAACGCATTCACCTGCGTTTTTTTTTAATTTTATCAAACCCTTTATAACTTTAAAGAAATATTCCTTTCATAACAAAACTTTCTCATTTAAAGGCAAATAAATTGTCTTTTATATACGACATACGTTACCATTTAATAAAATACTTGTATCAGAAAATATTTGTTAGGAATAAAAAAGTGAAAACGCAGGCGGCTCCGTCTTTTCGCTCCTACTACATAGTTACTAGTCTAAGTCCAAGGTACTTGAGACGAAGTTACAGATTTTATGCTATTTTTAAGAATTACGGGGTGTGAGAATTTAAAGCTTCATTCGTTTTAACGCTCTATAGATATATTAACTATACAGGTACTTTTACTGTTTTAGATAATGCTTATCAGATATACAGGTACATACTGTTTAAAAAAATAATAATTTAAAAGTAAAAAAATTTAATTAGAGAAAAGTAGCGCGAAATCAGTATCAGACACTTAATTTAGATGTTACGAAGATTGGCGTGACAAAATCTATGCGGATAATTTTGGCCTATAACAAATTCTAGAAATTTTCAAACAAATATCATTACCTGTAGGACAGCATTCGGTTAGAGTGATGCCATATTCTTTAGCGTAGTCTTCTATCAACAGATCTTCCAAATATTTCTTTTTCTCTTCTGAAAGCTGACACCCAAAGAATCCGTCACCAACCTCTCTCAAGATGGCATCTCTGAAGGCCTTTCTTTGGACACAAACAGCATCCCTACCAAATGACAGGCGTTTTGGGGTACAGCAAACTCTTGGAAGGAAACCCTTTTCTTTAGTCTTATTCATAAGCCTTCGAGCAAGTTCAATAGCTTCATTATCGCTTAAATTTGTTAAGCGTTTTATTATAGCTATCAAATTTTGCATGATTATGTCTGGATCAGTTTTGTTTTTAAGTAGTCTGTCTAATTCCTTCAGTAGAGTTCTTTTCAGTTTGTCTTTCGTTTCATCAGGCATATCCAGAGGACCCAAGAACGAGTCCATTTCTCGAATCAATGAGTCCTGGAAGGCTTTTAGTGCCTTTGTAGATGGTAAACCAGCTCCTCCATCTTCCATTGCTTAAAAATAAAGGGGGTTTGCTGATTTTTTGTTCGGTAAGTGGTCAGAAATGAATATACATCTAAGTAAGTTCAAGAGAAATTAAAAAATTGCTATTAAATAAGGTTTTTTGGGGAAAATGGGTTAACACCTTCTTCATTTTGTATCTAAACTTGAACTTTTCAATAATATAATTCGTTTCTGACACATTCATAAATCAACAAATAAAATTATATGATTTTAACCCCCTTAAAAATGCAAAAGTGCACGACCTAACTCTAAATTTTACGCATTTTAATTAGTAACAGTTTTTACGCGAGCTACTCTTATCGTATTTTACGCGATTTTTACTTTAGATATTTTCCCGATAGTTGTTTGATTTAAAATTTTAATTATTTTATTGCTTTTTTATCATTATTATTTAGAGCTTTACCGATTTTGGCTTTTATTTTAAGGAACGATTAATTGATTTCAAATTGTAATTTAAATTAGGTAATACTAAAATGGTCATACTTTTACTTACCTTATGACTGCACCGACTCCACTTTACATAGAACCAGACCTACAGAAAAAGTTGTACGAAAGGTATTTACAACCTGACTGTAGCTGTCCCTGTGGCACTGCCCCTCGTGGGCCGATCACTCCTGGAACGTGCATTTCATTTATCTTATTCAATAGGGCCTTGCAACTCCCAAGAACTATTTTCTGTGAGTCCGGCGTCAAGAAATCAGTCGTCCTTTTCAGCACTTGCACCTTTAAGTATTCTAGATCTTCTGCAAATGAAGGCTTCACAGGAGCATGTGTTACGTAATTCTTTCTATCCATAATATCATCTATTAGTTCGTTTATGAACGTCTCTTTGGTTGATACTTCTATATCTAGTGGAATTTTCTCCAGCCAAGCTTTAACAATTTCGATAACTTCTTCCGTGTAGTCCTTTTCTAAGTTTTCTGTTGTCTTCTGTGCAGTATCACTTGTGGCTTGCGTTTCTTCTATAATTTCTAAATGATCACCATTTTTAAATGTCGAGTTAGCTTTTGGAGCGAATTTCTTCCTAGATTTGGTATTCCTTTTTTGACGTGGAGTTACTTGGTTTTTTTTCAACTTCTGTTTTGATTCACTGTAAATTGTAGTTGACGTGTTTTTCAAATCATGTTTCTCAGTACCAGATACTGGTAACTGAGAGATGACGTCATCAAGGTTTCTTGATAATCTTTCTTTTTGTATACTAGTATCTGTTAGTATGACTTCGTTAATGTTTTTGTCTACAGCTTCCGTTAATTTGGACTTAAACATTTCGCTGTCATTGGTGTTGATCGGTGCGTCGTCGATTACTTCATATATGTCCTGTAATATCACTTGTTTTAGATTACTAATATCCTTTTTTTCTTTCAACACAGATTTGTCCAAATCTTTTTCCACAACATTGCTTAAATTATCTCTCAGTTCATATCCCAAACATGATGGTAATGCCGCTTCATTTAAAATCTGCTTGATATTTCTATACAGTGCATTTTTAATTTGATTTTTAAGGACTGAGAGTGTTTTATCTTTTGGAATATTTATAACATCCATCTTGACTGAAATATTATCCATTTCGTCTGCTTTCGAAATGAAATTCATATCAGTTGAAGCAGGTTTTTTGTTTTTGTTAATTTTGATTGCTTCTGGAGCGATATAGATTTCTTGTGTAACATTTGTGAATTTGTGTTTAGGGCTGTCAAAACTGTTCGATTTAATTTTCTCTTTTGAGTCCTTAGCTTTGAGTATTAGAGATATTTCTCTAGCTTTATTCACTAATTTGTTTGATATTTTTCGAGCTTGTGGGCGTGATACATAGGATCGTAATAATAAGCTTTTGCTACAGCTGGTGGTTGCAACGAATGGGTCACCACCATTTGCAGCCAAATCTTCTAATCGATAGAAGATATCTTCTATCAGTTTATTTGCGTTACTCGGTCTGACTTTATGCTTGACGAGGATGTCCGATATTTCTTCTCTCAACGGCTCTTTTATTTTTTCTATTGGTAATCCTGTTGGAATTCTTCTTTTAGGTCGACATGGTGAATTCCTTCTTCGTTTCTTGTCTGCTTTTTCTGTTACGGGAGAAAATAAATACAAGTAGAGTGCTTTTGAAATAATCTATTTGTAACAATTTTGACGTCAACCCGCAAACATTTAATACAGTGAAACCTGGTTAAGTGAGACATCAAGGGACCTGCAATGTCGTTCCACTTATAGAGGTATTCCACTTACCCAGTGTCTCAGATATACAGGTATAAATAAATATTTGTCTCATTTACAGAGGGTTCCATTAATATGGGTGGACTTTGAATTACGTGTGAAATTTGTGGGTAGAATAAGAATGAGTAAACAAACAATGTTATCTCAGTTACAGAGGTTTATGCATATAAAATTTACTCGCTGTTTCAGTTATAGAGGTAACTATGATGATAAATTGGAAGAACAAATCCCAGATATAGAGGTTTACCTCGTCCCACTAACAGAGGTAATTCAGTGCCAAAGTGTTGGGACCTCAGAATGAGTTCCAGTTATGGAGGTTTCTCACTTATCCAGGTCCCACTTAACCAAGTTTTACTGTAATTAAAGATTAATCAGAAAAATATTTTTAAGAATTTGAAACAGTAGCATTTTGAAGTCAATAATGTTGTAAATAAATATGTTGACAAATAAAATAGCTATACGTGTACTTATCACTCAGTTTGTGAAACAGTGTGAAACCTTACGAAAGCTCTTACAAAACCCAAACAAATTTTCGTTAAAACACTCGAACAAGTACACAAAAATAGAATGACAAAACCTAATCACAAGCACAATAAAAAATTTACGAAAAGACTAAGACACTAACAGAAGCTTGCTCCGATTTGATATTATTATCCGAATAATTACTGTTGTCTCTTACTATAAATTGAACAACCAGCAACAATCTGTGAACAAGATACTACACTACCGATATAGACTAGCAAGACATAGGATAGGAACTTCTTGTTGTTTATTACGTGAGCTACTAAACAATCGTATTAAAAAGTACTTAAAAAGTTTTTTGGTGAATCATGAAAATTTTATTGAAATGCTGCAGTTTATTGATTTAACTATTTATTTTAACTGTATTTTATGGAATACAGTATTTCAAGCAAAAACGAGTCGTTCTCATATTTGTGTTTTTCGATATGTACACGAGAAAATAATGCTAACTGATGTTAAATTATTTACGGTCGCTACGTTTGTCTATTTTTTAAATTAAGTGTTTCTCATGTATGTCTATTTAATGCTATATTAAAAGACTGTGATTTTTAAACATTAACGAGGTGATTTAATTTTGTCATTTAAATGATTTAGTTGATAGAAAACTACGAGTAATTATTTGTTGCTATCGTTAAATAAGCTTTTAAGCCCGATCTTGTAACTATTTTCAAAATTCAAACCACACATTTACTCAACTATTGTCTTCTGCATACGAAACTGAGGGCAATATATTTGGTACTGGTATTTCTTGTACCCTTCTAAACAAACTGTCAATACGCTCCATAACAAGAGGTAAAGAGCCAGCATCGACCACTTTACTAAGTCGTTTAAAAACTTGATATTTCAAATTATCTTTTTCATTTTTGTTTGTAAACGTGTCATGTGATAGTTTCCGATATTTTTGTCTGTCTACAAGATCAATCACAAGTTCGTCAGTAAAAATTAACTTGTTTTCTGGTTCTATTTCAATGGGCACCGTTTCGAACCACTCGGTTACGCAATCTGTAAGTTTATCCATGTATTCTTGGTCTTCAGGTCCTTTTAATACTGGTGTAGCCAATGAGACTCTATGTGGCGTTGAAGCTGCATCAGGTTGTAACAACATATTACTTTCATTTATCAACATTTCAAAACTTAACTCCGCGTTTGGTAGTAAAGCATTTCTTAGCAATATTTTCAATTCGCATTTCTTAGCCTCTGTAAGCGAGGTGTCATTAATTATATGATTCCCATCTTTTAAAATCTCTTCTTTAATGGTATCTCTATCATTTTCATCACTAAACGGCGCTTTGTCTATAATTTCATCTATTTTATTGTTGATAGATGCTTTTAAATTGTTCTGGTCTTCGTCTGTTAAGGAAACCTGCCTCATAGCGTCATCAATGTCCTTAGATAATGTTTCTTTGAATTGGTTTTTCTCTATTTGGTTATTCAAAACCATTTCTATTGCGTCTTTGTTATCAATATCATGCTGTGCATCATCTAGAGGCTTGGGTAATTTTGTTTCTGTTGCTATAGTATCTTTAAAGTTTCGTGTTTCTGTATCTACCTCATCACCTTTGACGATCGCACTTTCTAATTCATTAACAGCATTATCTTCTATATTTTCCAATTCGTTGGTTTCTGTATCAGTTTCTTCATTCACATCATTTGTTTCTTCTCTCAATGTAATTTCATCGTCTAATTCTCCTAGTTTGGCTTCAATTATTGTTCCTTCTTCAACAGCTTTTGGGTCATTTTTAGGGTTCGTAAATTTTGGTATACCTAATAATTTTCTATTTTCGTTTGCCTCCATGTCTATTAAAGGGCTTCTCTCATCGCTTATTAGCATGGCACTTGTTCCTTCATCTTCACGTACTTTTGTAGCAGTTGACGTTCTTTTTTCATCGCTTGGTCTCCTAGCACTTGACGATCTATCTACGCTCTTCCTCACAGGGCTGGCTTGTCTTTTATCTTCATTTCCTTTCTTCTCAGTCGATGGTCTTCTGTCATAACTTATTCTCCTAGGACTTGATGTTCTATTTTCGCTTATATTCTTAGCACTTGATGATCTATCTATGCTTATTCTCATAGGACTTGCTTGTCTTTTTTCTTCACTTGCTACCTTCTCAGTTGATGGTCTTCTGTCATAACTTATTCTTTTAGCACTTGATGAGCTATCTTTCTTTGTTCTCCCAGCACTTGACGATCTATGTTCGCTTTTGTCATCACTAGTTCCCATAAAGCTGTATGGCCTTTTATCTTCATTTAATTTCATATCACTCGATCGTCTTCTATTATCTATAGGTTTCGCACCGCGCGATGGTCTATTATATCGATCATTGTCGTTTTTAATAACTTTTTCATTGGAATCACTTGGATTTAGTGTTTTATATAGTGCTTCAAAATTGTTTGTTAATGCATCTGTCAATGAAAAAATTATTTCTTGTTTTTCGTTTATCGGTATGGTGGTTTCATAAACGATATCACTACAATCTTTTAAAATTTGGTCTTTTACCTCATCTCTATCAGTTTTGCTATCGATTGGTGCCTTCTTCAAGTCTTCTTTTAGTTTACCTACTATATTTGATTTCAAATATTTTTTTTCTGAATCAGATATAAAAGAATCATCTATAGTGTCATTTACGAGTTTTGATAATGATTCTATGAATTTGTTTTTCAGTAATTTCTTCTTTAATACTTTGTCTAAAGCCGTATCGTCATCAGCCTCGCAAGGGACTCCGTCTATAGAATATATAACGTTTTTATCGTTCACTTTCAGTTTTTCAGGACTGTCAAGGAATTCTCTATCAGACAACTCTGTTAATCTTCGTCTCGTACCGAAATTAGATGATTCTATGAATTTATTGTACGTATCGGAGTCTGTAGCCTTAGCAACTATCGATATTTCTCTAGCTCGCCCAATAAGTTCATCAGCTAAGGCACAAGCTCTGTGTTCTGGCAAATTAGTTTTCAGAATAATTTTATCAATTATGTTTTTCCTTGCATCTTCATGATTAGTACCTTTTACTGTTACATTTTCTAATTCATCTATAATAGATCCCTCTATACCTTTAACTTCGCTTGGGTCTACGTTATATTTATGAAATACATCAGATACTTCTTCTTTTAATGATTTATCAACGTCTATTCGAGGTAAAGTACGCCCTTTTGATTTGAGTTCTTTTGTCTGTTCGTCAATTGCGCTTTGAATTTTATTTGCCTTTACTACCTTCGGTGACGGTTTGCGCGAAAGTGTTTCTCCAATTTCATTATAATTTTTCTCGAAATTTAAAGCTAAAGCTTCCCTTAATTTATTAGTCAAGTCAATTTTACTATCAGCGGACATCGTAGTTCCTTCAATCAACTGAATGCTGTCTTTTAGTATGTTCTCTCTGAGAACTATTCTGTCTTGTTCACTTTCTAACGGAAACTTATCAATGTTTTCATCTACATTCTTCAATATGTTTTGTTTCATATTAATTTTATGTGGTGTCGATATCGATGAATCATCGATAGCTTCAATAAGCAGTTTTGATGTTAGGTCTTTAAATCGTCTCTTTATGTACTCCTTCTTTAAAACTTCGTCCAATACATTTTCGTCATTAATATTATGGTGAACACCACCAATAGAGTATAGTCGTTGTTTTGGATGTAGTTGTTCAGGACTGTTTATAAATTCATCGGGCAACAATTCCGTCAGTCTGCGCTTTCGACCAGACGTTGAAGATTTCATTATTTTGTTGTATAAATCCGAGTCGGTAGCTTTAGCAATTATTGACATTTCTTTTGCTCTATTAATTAATTTATCAGCTACGTCACTTGCTCGCTCCCTTGTTAAATTGGCCTCTGGCATAATTTTGTCAATGATATTTTGTTTTGCACTTTCTACGTCTCCAGTTTTAACCACAATACTTTGTAGTTCGCCTGCAACATCATCTTCTACATGCTTAACTTTGTCGGGATCAATTTCTTGCTTTGTGAAGATATCAGATATTTCTTCTTTTAATGATTTATTTACATCAATTTGTGGCAGTACACTTTTGAATATTTTTGGAGTTTTACTATCTTTTCTCCTTTTCTCTTGGGTTTCTGAGGCTAGTACAACGCTAGATCCTATTGGCAGGGTCATAATTGGAACTTTGATTTCGTCAATACTGGCTAACATCTGTTCAGTTTGTTTGATTACTTGTTTTAGTGCATACATCGACATTAACTTATTCAATCTCCTAAATGTTTGTAGCTTCAAGTACTCCAGGTCTTCTGCGTAGGTTGGCGTTATTGCCTTCCTACTTATTTGATGATATTTCTTTCTATCAACTATGTCTTGTGTTAATTGAGTTATGACATTATTCTTCTGTTCCGTTGTCAAATCCGTTATAAGAACCACATTCAACCAATTTCGGACAATATCTAATATGTAGTTTGTGTACTGTATTTCGTCTTCATGTGAAATAATATCTGGATTACTTACAGACATAAATGCAGAACTTTGTTCAACACTATTGTTATATATTAATCTATTTTCTGAGTTTGAAAAACTTGATGCTATGTATAAATTATTATTGCTGACCGGTGTTGGGATTTGGGTTGGGTGCACGTATCTTTTTGTTTTAGATCTTTCATATGTGGCCGTCCCTTCATTGGTTTTGCTCAGAATAGAAGATTCTTGTACACAGGAATCGTTATATATATCGAGATATGATTCTGGACTGCAGGCATCGTCATAATTGTTTTCTATGCTCATTTTGTAATTTTCAGTTTTTAATAACAGTGATTCGTTTAAATTATTACTTAGGACTTCAGCTAATTTATATTTGAACATATTCTTTTTATTTTTAGGTATCGGTGCTCCAAGTAGCACGTCATTCATCTGTCTTAGTGTTTTCAATCGAGTTAAGTCAATGCTTTGTTTCCCAGTCAGAAGAAGTTCCTCAATGTCTTCATCAACAATGTTATTTAATTTATTTCTTAAGATTCTTTTCCTGGATGTTGAAAGAGGTGAATCATTAATTATATGATTAACACTTCTACGTAGAGTTTCTTTTAATTCATTTTTTATTTCGAAAATCATATTCATCGGTAATCTGATGACATCAAATTGCATTATTAATGGAGCATGTGTTCTGAGTGTTGTTTTCGTACCTTGCTTGATTTTTGGCTTCGTAATCCTTTCAAGCAGCTTGATTCCTTTACCGGATATACATAGGCTGGCTTTAGCATTCGATTTATTTACAGATCTATCTTTAACATTAAGCTTGCTGGACATTTCCTCAGCTCGAGATGGTGGCCTGCCAGACTGCTGCATACACTCACTGCAACTTGATCTAGCACCGTTGGCATCTTCTGCTGTCTCAACTAATTCTTGTAAAGCGTAAACAATGTCCTCTACTAATAATTCTTTATTGTTTGTCTCAACATTATGTAAGGACAGTACTCCGGATATTTCTGTTTTTATCTGATGTTTTATTCTATCTATTGGTACTGCTGCCACCTTCCTCCTTTTCAGCGGTGGTTCATCTCTTCGTCGCCTTATATGCTGGATTTGTTCTGTTTTGAAAGAAAAATACAATTGACAGATCAATTAGATATTGAACTGCGACAGTTTTAAATCGTGTGTCATTGTGATTATGTTAACGGAGATAATAATAATATGTATATAGTATTCTCCAAGCAATAATACTTAATAGTATAACTAAATTCAAAGTTTTCTATCAAAATCAGGCAAACTATATCAAACTATAAGTATATACGTTGGTTAAGAAAGTAATGTTGATTATTGACAGAAATACAAGCCTCGACTTCTAAACTAATAAGACCATAGAAAAAATACACTGAAAGAACAAGCCATGATTGGAACCGACACTACAAAAGACCATAAGAGTATTAAAAGACTACAAAGAATACCAGAGACCATACAACAGCCTGGAACTGAACTATGCGGTTGGGAGCCAACAAACCAAATTAACTTCAAAATAAAACACCACAAAATGGGGAAAAAACGCTGAAAAATCATCACAAACATTTTTACGTCTAATACTTTTTCAATCTCCTTCTTTTTTGAAGGTTTTACTCTAAAATTTGCTCCTAAGTATATAAAACCCTTTCCTGAAAACCGCATTAAAATCCATTCCGTCAATCGCGAACAAACGTACACTCATAGATACATACTGTTAGATGACGAAAATAAACTAAATGAACGTCACTAATTTAATCTGTGTTATCGGTAACTCTAGCTGTCATGTTGACGCTGTCATCTGTCAAATGTTTCCCGCCAAAAGAGTTGTAACGGGGATTCTGGTTAAAGTTTTGAACTAACGTTATGCTCTTCTTATAATAAGCTAATTCTAAACCCAGAATAAACTTTTTCATTGTTGAAGTATCGAGTTTTATTGAAGTACTGAATACCTTTCTTTTTTGGGGTCGTTTAAAAGTATGTTCATAAAATATATTTATAGGCTACGCGACGTTGACGACGCCGCGCACGCTGTTCTTGAGGAAGAGTCCCACTGTGACTCTCAACTAGTGGAGCTTTTTTTAGTTAAAATATAATGGCTTTATAATTACTGGTAAAATAGTCCTATCGATTCTCATAAGTTTTTGGGACGGGTTTTCCAACGGGTAAACAATATAATAATCGCCTGCAATACGTCCGATATTTTGATAATTAAATTCTTCAAGTTAATTAAAACGTGTTTTTATTATTTTGTTTAAACGGAAAAGTATTGTTTCGCTTAATTTAAAAAAGTATATCAAGGTACAAATATTTTATTTTCGATGCCAATCCCCAAGCACCTCAACGAAAGTTCAAGGCCATTATTTTGGCGAAGTGATTCGTTTTTAATATTGTATCACTTCAATTTGAATATGTTTACCAGCGTTTATAGTTCATTATTATATTTTTTCGACTTACTCACGCAATTATATTTAACGATAAACTCGACTAATTTCAAGCCATGCTCGAGGCTACCGGTCTAGTATGGCTTGAAACTAGTCGAGTTCCTCGTCAAGCAGTTACGTCAGTAAGCCGATAACATAATAATTAATTTAGTTGTTAGTATGTCTCACTCTCACGATTGTTATAATAGTGTTTAAAGTTGCTTTTAAATAAATTAAATTAATGGATAAATCATTATCATTATGACTATTTAGATTACCTTGTTTGAATTGGAGGTTAAAATCATCTAACTTTATTTAAGTATTGGAATTTGAAACCCTTTCTATTAAATATATAGTGTAGATTCAAATTGCCACAATTAATAAATCCAAGTTTAGATTTTTTAAGAAAATTCTATTTTGTAATTTGTTATTTGGCACTTAACCAAAGGCGAATGCCCAAAAATGGATTAATGAAAAATCCAGAAATGATTAAAATAATTATGTATGGCTAGGTACATGTATTATATTCCTAATTAAACAATTGTTTTCCTTGAAACCATCACCAATTAATAAAAAATAACTATTAGTTTATCATGATCTTGATTTGCATAATCTTTCCGCAGATTTAAAATCAGTTTGCACTAGTTTATCGAAGAAAAGAACTTCGTGGTATGATTATAATCTTGCAAAATCTTGTAGACTTGAGAGTTGCTTGTCATTCTCTAATTCTCATAAATGTAATTCCTTATTTGTATTCTTCTTTCATTCGTTACAAACAAAATATTAAAACAATTAGTCAGTTTGTAAAGCGCCCTGCTATACAAATTGTATTAAATAAGCTCCAGGCCCGTTCGGTTATGGTCTAAGCTAAAACGACTACCGTATTGGCAACTTTTTGTCTATGTTCTGTATTATTGATCGCAAATTATGGGTTTCTTTAGGCATTCTCCTTTAATATTTCTCAACCGCTCAAGTTCGTCTAGCCTAATTCAGTCAAGTCCCTCGTGTGTCAAGTCCGTCGTGTTTTATACAATTTCTTCTGTCTCTTCCATTGTAGTAAGCATATCTTCAGGAGGCATTCATTTAGACAATCTTCTAAAAACTTGCTATCTTAAATTGTCTAATTCATCCATAATAGGAAATGATACCTCAGGGTGAAGTACCAAAGTTGCAATCTGTCCACTATATCATTCGTTAAATTTTCTAAGACTTCTGATTTCACTTCAGGGCTTAAATTAAATTCTTGTATGTATTCTATCCAAGTGTCAGTAGCCTTTTTCAACCTATTTTGAAGGTTGTTGTTGGGAGAGCCATGCTTCGGCACGAACGGGCCGGCTCAACTAGAGCGATACCACGGCTTCACAATCTCCCCAATCCCTGAATCCTCTAATTCCTAATCCTAAATTAAAAAGTCGGTAACGCACTTGTAACGCCTCTGGTGTTCCAGGTGTTCATGAGCGACGACGATTGCTTACCATCAGGTCATCCATCTCCTCGTTTACGGGCTGATCCCATAAAAAAACTCTTCAGTATTATCATACAGTGTTACGTATCATTGCTCAATTTCTTCTTCTGACTGTCCAATGAATTCAGTGTCCTTTTGTGCACCTATTGATTTTGAAAATTCGTTTCACTTTAATAAATTATTGAACCCTCTTGTTAATGCATCTGCTACTATATCTAATATTTGTAATTAAGAAGCTGTCTTTAAGCCTCTTGCAGTCCGCTGACACAACCTCTTTTTATATCTGAATTATTATCAAATGAAGATTTTTCCAAGTTTTACTCCAAATTTTTAGTTAATTTTTATTTCGTTTGGTGCCTTAGAAATATGAGCTTCATCACGGCATCATAACTGTACTGGAGCATGGACGCAATACAAATTCCCATTAAATTTTCTTGCCCAGTTAGGTGTAGCCAATTAACTAGTGCAGCGGCTTGATCTCTCGGTTGACCTGTTTCTTCCATTATCTTTTTAATGAGCCTCCCTTTCGCGGCGTCCACATCAGCTCAATCGAGAATTACTTTAGTTAATTCATCTCCAATACTTTTTCGTATTTAGGATCTACCTTAACTATTTTAGTTACGAGTCTCAAACTTACCTTTGTTTCTTATTTTGGCGTTTGCGTGTAGCTTATCAACTAATGCAGCGGCTTGATCTCTTGATAGACCTGTTTCGTCCATTATCTTCTGTATGAGCCTCTCCTTCGCGGCGTCGACGTCACCTCCTTCGAGGACTACTTTTGTTAATTCATCTTCAAAGTCTTTTAATGCTTTTTCATATTTAGGGTCCAAGTTAAAAGTCTTAGTTAGGGCCGTATACTTATCTTTATTGTCTGCGTTGACCTTGGCATGTAGCCTGTTGACTAGTTCAGCGGCTTGCTCTCTAGGTAGACCTGTTTCGTCCATTATCTTTTTAATAAGCCTCTCCTTCGCGGCGTCTACATCACCTCCCTCGAGGATGACCTTTGCTAATTCATCTTCCACGTGTTTTAATTCTTTTTTATACTTCGGATCTAGGTTAAAGGCCTGAACAAGGCCATTAAGCCTTTCTTTGTTATCTTCATTAGCCTTTGCATGTAGCTTATCAACCAATGCAGCGGCTTGATCTCTCGGTAGACCTGTTTCGTCCATTATCTTTTTAATGAGCCTCTCTTTCGCGGCGTCTACGTCACCTCCCTCGAGGATGACTTTTGTCAATTCGTCTTCCACTTCTTTTAGTGCCGTTTTGTGTTTAGGATCAAGATTAAAGATCTTAGTTAGGCTCTCAATACCTGCCACATCTCTATTAGCCTTTGTATGAAGCTTATCAACTAGTGCAGCGGCTTGATCTCTTGATAGACCTGTTTCGTCCATTATCTTTTCAATGAGCCTCTCCTTCGCGGCGTCGACGTCACCTCCTTCGAGGACTACTTTTGTTAATTCATCTTCAATACCTTTTAATTCTGTTTCATATTTAGGGTCCAGGTTAAAAGTCTTAGTAAGGGCCATAGAATTATCTTTGGTGTCTGCGTTGACCTTGGCATGTAGCCTGTTGACTAGTTCAGCGGCTTGCTCTCTAGGAAGACCTGTTTCGTCCATTATCTTTTTAATAAGTTTCTCTTTTGCAGCGTCTACATCACCCCCCTCGAGGATGACCTTTGCTAATTCATCTTCCACGTGTTTTAATTCTTTTTTATACTTCGGATCTAGGTTAAAGGCCTGAACAAGGCCATTAAGCCTTTCTTTGTTATCTTCATTAGCCTTTGCATGTAGCTTATCAACCAATGCAGCGGCTTGATCTCTCGGTAGACCTGTTTCGTCCATTATCTTTTTAATGAGTCTCTCTTTCGCGGCGTCTACGTCACCTCCCTCGAGGATGACTTTTGTCAATTCGTCTTCCACTTCTTTTAATGCCGTTTTGTGTTTAGGATCAAGATTAAAGATCTTAGTTAGGCTCTCAATACCTGCCACATCTCTATTAACCTTTGTATGAAGCTTATCAACTAGTGCAGCGGCTTGATCTCTTGATAGACCTGTTTCGTCCATTATCTTTTCAATGAGCCTCTCCTTCGCGGCGTCGACGTCACCTCCTTCGAGGACTACTTTTGTTAATTCATCTTCAATACCTTTTAATTCTGTTTCATATTTAGGGTCCAGGTTAAAAGTCTTAGTAAGGGCCATAGAATTATCTTTGGTGTCTGCGTTGACCTTGGCATGTAGCCTGTTGACTAGTTCAGCGGCTTGCTCTCTAGGAAGACCTGTTTCGTCCATTATCTTTTTAATAAGTTTCTCTTTTGCAGCGTCTACATCACCCCCCTCGAGGATGACCTTTGCTAATTCATCTTCCACGTGTTTTAATTCTTTTTTATACTTCGGATCTAGGTTAAAGGCCTGAACAAGGCCATTAAGCCTTTCTTTGTTATCTTCATTAGCCTTTGCATGTAGCTTATCAACCAATGCAGCGGCTTGATCTCTCGGTAGACCTGTTTCGTCCATTATCTTTTTAATGAGTCTCTCTTTCGCGGCGTCTACGTCACCTCCCTCGAGGATGACTTTTGTCAATTCGTCTTCCACTTCTTTTAATGCCGTTTTGTGTTTAGGATCAAGATTAAAGATCTTAGTTAGGCTCTCAATACCTGCCACATCTCTATTAACCTTTGTATGAAGCTTATCAACTAGTGCAGCGGCTTGATCTCTTGATAGACCTGTTTCGTCCATTATCTTTTCAATGAGCCTCTCCTTCGCGGCGTCGACGTCACCTCCTTCGAGGACTACTTTTGTTAATTCATCTTCAATACCTTTTAATTCTGTTTCATATTTAGGGTCCAGGTTAAAAGTCTTAGTAAGGGCCATAGAATTATCTTTGGTGTCTGCGTTGACCTTGGCATGTAGCCTGTTGACTAGTTCAGCGGCTTGCTCTCTAGGAAGACCTGTTTCGTCCATTATCTTTTTAATAAGTTTCTCTTTTGCAGCGTCTACATCACCCCCCTCGAGGATGACCTTTGCTAATTCATCTTCCACGTGTTTTAATTCTTTTTTATACTTCGGATCTAGGTTAAAGGCCTGAACAAGGCCATTAAGCCTTTCTTTGTTATCTTCATTAGCCTTTGCATGTAGCTTATCAACCAATGCAGCGGCTTGATCTCTCGGTAGACCTGTTTCGTCCATTATCTTTTTAATGAGTCTCTCTTTCGCGGCGTCTACGTCACCTCCCTCGAGGATGACTTTTGTCAATTCGTCTTCCACTTCTTTTAGTGCCGTTTTGTGTTTAGGATCAAGATTAAAGATCTTAGTTAGGCTCTCAATACCTGCCACATCTCTATTAGCCTTTGTATGAAGCTTATCAACTAGTGCAGCGGCTTTTTCTCTCGGTAGACCTGTTTCTTCCATTATCTTTTTAATGAGCTTGTCCTTCGCGGCGTCTACATCACCTCCCTCGAGGATTACGTTTGTTAATTCATCTTCAATACCTTTTAATTCTTTTTCGTATTTAGGATCTAGGTTAAATATTTTAGTTAGAGTCTCAAACTTACCTTGGTTTGCTATGTTGGCCTTTGCATGTAGCTTATCAACTAGTTCAGCGGCTTGCTCTCTTGATAGACCTGTTTCATCCATTATCTTTTTAATGAGCCTCTCTTTCGCTGCACCTACATCACCTCCCTCAAGAATTATTTTTGTTAATTCGTCTTCCACGTCTTTTAATTCTTTTTTATATTTAGAATCCAGATTAAGGGCTTGAAGAGGGCCATCAAGCCTTTCTTTGTTCTCTGCATTGACCTTGGCATGTAGCCTGTTAACTAGTTCAGTGGCTTGCTCTCTAGGTAGACCTGTTTCGTCCATTATCTTTTTAATAAGCTTCTCCTTCGCGGCGTCTACATCACCTCCCTCGAGGATGACCTTTGCTAATTCATCTTCCACGTCTTGTAATTCCTTTTTATACTGTGGGTCTAGGTTAAAGGCTTGAACAAGGCCATTAAGCCTTTCTTTGTTATCTTCATTAGCCTTTGCATGTAGCTTATCAACCAATGCAGCGGCTTGATCTCTCGGTAGACCTGTTTCATCCATTATCTTCTTAATGAGTCTCTCTTTCGCGGCGTCTACGTCACCTCCTTCGAGGATGACTTTTGTCAATTCGTCTTCCACTTCTTTTAATGCCGCTTCGTGCTTGGGATCGAGATTAAAGGTCTTCGTTAGGTTCTTAATATCTTCCACATCATCACTAGCCTTTCCATGTAGCCTATCAACCAATGCAGCGGCTTGGTCTCTCGGTAGACCTGTGTATATTTGGGTACACAATGGAGCAATAAAAAGCCCTTTTTTACAATAAAAGAACATATAATTAAAATAGGGTGTTAACAGTGGAGCGGACGCTGAGAGAATGAATGGCTACCCTTCTAGCAATTTTAACATGCTCCGCGACGCCTGATTGTTAAACTGGCAATCATACATGTAGTTGTGGTTTGCTATTGGAAAGGCGCTAGGCGCCGCAACATCATCCCGCCCGTTGAAAGAATCCTTTCAACGATCCTGCAGTTCATCAGCGTTGGGTAGAGGGCAAAGACGAGTTAGAGACCGCCGAACGCAGCCCTTCATTGTTTGGATATCAGCAACCCTGGCTATTCCGTCTGGACCAGGTATCAGCCGCAGAACTCGACCCAGTCGCCAGCATAATGGCGGCGTGTTGTCTTCGGATATGAGAACCATGTCTCCTATATGTAGCTGTGCAGTATTGCTTTTCCATTTAGTTCTCTGCTGCAGTTCCGATATGTATTCCTTTTGCCATCTTCTCCAAAAGTGGTGTCTTATCGATTCGAGATGGTCGTATCGTTTCCTCTGGCTGTCATGATTGTCCGCCAATGCAAGTGGTGGCAGTGCCGTCAGTGGTCTCCCGATGATGAAGTGCCCTGGAGAAAGGGAGAGGAGGTCGTTAGGAGAGGATGACAAGGGACACAAGGGACGACTGTTAAGAATCGCCTCCACTTGCGCAAATAATGTCGAAATCTCTTCGAACGTTAAATGACTATTGCCCATCACTCGACGTAGGTGATGTTTAGCGGATTTAACTCCGGCTTCCCAAATTCCGCCGAAATGAGGAGCGTAAGCTGGTGTGAATTTAAATTTGATTCCCTGCTGACTTGCAAAGTCAAATAGTGGCTCTTTATTTTGTTGAATAAAGCTCCCTACTTCTTTCGCGGCGGCTACGAAGTTGCGGCCGTTGTCGCTAAACACTTCCAATGGCTTGCCTCTGCGCGCGATAAATCGTCTGAGGGTCATGATAAACGCGTCTTTAGTTAAATCGCTAACTGCTTCGAAGTGGACACATTTATAGCGCAAACACACGAAAATACACAAATAGCATTTAATTAAGCGACTTCCGCGGCCCTTGCGATTTAGAACAAAAAAGGGGCCAGCAAAATCTAGACCTACAGATAAGAATGGAAAGTCCGGATTCACACGTTGTGACGGCAATTCACCCATTTTTGGGCATAAAAGTTTGCCTCTTAATCTTCTACACCGCACACAGTTGTTTACTGTGCGTCTCGCCAAAAGTCTGCCACCCACTGGCCATACCACTTCCCTTACTGTGGCTAGCAGAAGCTGGGGGCCAGCATGCATGGCGTTTATGTGCTCCTTTTCAAAGTACAATTTTGTAAGCCTATGCCTAGCATGCAACAATATAGGATGTTTCTTTTCATACGAGTAGATTGAGGCATCCAGGCGTCCACCTACCCGCATTAAATTTTCGGCAAGAAAGGGGGAAAGGGCCAAAATTTTGCTTTTTGTTGGCAGTGCTTTCCCTTTTGACAATATATCATATTCTTTACTGAATGACTCACGTTGAGCTATAATACAAAGTGAATGAAACGAATCACGCAGCTCATCCGTTGATAAGATACCTAATCGTTTATCTTCAGAATGTTTTAAATTGTGTATAAATCTTTTAACGAATGCTAGTACCCTTTGCAGCTTTGTAAATGATGAATAATTGTCGAATATTATTATAGATTCGTCTATTACTATTGTGTGTGCCTTTGTCTCAGGTAAGTTACTTAATTTATTAATATCCAAAATAGGCCATTCGGATTCATCTTTCATTAAGAAATTTGGACCGGACCACCACAATTCCATAGTCGGTAAAATTTTAGGACTAATACCTCTCGATATTAAATCAGCTGGGTTAGCGTCAGTGGGTACATATCGCCAAGCAGATGGGACCGTCATGTCTACGATTTCGCTTACACGGTTAGCTACGAAGGTTTTAACTTTAGTTAAGTCACTATTAATCCAACCTATTACTACACTAGAATCGCACCAGTGTATTACTCTAGTCGGTTTGTATCGTAATGACTCTAACACAGACTTGCAAAGTTTAGCAGCAAGTAGCGCGGCGCATAATTCTAGACGTGGAATCGTGGTGGGCTTTAACGGCGACACTTTAGATTTAGCACACAACAATTTGACACTACATTGATTATTACTATTGAACGACTTTACATAGATACATGCTCCATAAGCCGACTGCGAAGCGTCACTAAACGAATGCAATTCCACTGTGGTCGATTCGTCAATCAAAACCCATCTAGGAATGACAAAGCCCGACACAAAGTGTAAATTTGTTGTAAAGTTATACCAATCATCCCTTATTTCATCCGGAACCGGTTGATCCCAGTCTAGCTTTAGTCGCCAGATAGTCTGTAAGATAATTTTCGGTTTTATCACAACCGGGCTCAAAAGACCTAAGGGATCAAATATCTTGAAAGTATTTGACATAATTGACCGTTTTGTCACGACAACTGATTTATTATCCGACGAAACATGTTTTATTGGAAAATATATTGCGTCACTGGACGGTTTCCATCCAAGACCAAGAGTGCTTGATGTTTCACTAATCGTTAAGCTTTCGTTTTTGTCTGTTTCAAGATTGTCAAATACTGACGTATTATTACTCTTGTATTTTCTTAGATTAAAACAATTATTTTTAAGTGCCCTTGCAACGGAACACTGAATATAATGCAAGTGTTGCTCGTTGTTGGCTCCGGTTATTAGGTCATCCACGTAGAAATCCCTTTGAATAATGTCCTTGATAAGTGGATCACTTTGCTCTTCACCCACCTGCCACAGACACCGAGTACTGAGAAAACTAGCGCTTGCCGTACCGTAAGTTACAGTGTTTAACGTGAAATCTCTGATGGGCTGGGACTCATCATCCCGCCATAAAATACGCTGCAAATTGCGATCTCTTTCGTCTACCAGAATTTGTCGATACATTTTTTCTATGTCTCCAGTAAGTAGAAATTTGTATTGTCGCGCGCGTACCAAAATGGCAAAAAGAGAGTCTTGAATATTTGGACCTGCTAACAAGATGTCATTTAGAGCATAGCCAGAAGATGAGGGTGCCGAGCCGTCAAACACTACTCGCAACTTAGTAGACTCACTATCTTGTTTAAGGACAGCGTGATGGCATAGATAATAGAGTGTACCTTGTGTATCCGCTGCCGGGGAAAGATGCCCCAATTGGGCATACTCATTGATGAAATTTTTGTATTCGCTTTTCAATAAAGGTTTACTTCTAAATCTTTTTTCCAAATAATGTAAACGTTTTCTAGCTAATTTAGATGTATCTCCAAGGCAGTCACTGCTATCTATCAAGGGCAATCTAACTACGAATCTACCTGATTTATTTTTATATGTATTTTTAATGAAATGAATTTCACAAGCCTTGTCCTTCTCGCTCACAATTCTTTTAGCAGGCAATTCTTCTAACTCCCAGAATTTGGTGAGTGCGGTATCAAGACTATTGTCTTTAGGAGCGTCAACCATAGAATAATTGCAGCTGGTCTGTTTATTAATATTAGTTAGATTAATAGCACCAGACACTATCCATCCCAATTGAGTGTTTCTCAACTTTGGATAGCTGGGACCAAGTGATACTTGTTCATTGCCCAAGATATCCCAAAATAAGTCAGCACCAATTAGAATATCCACAGAAGCTGGTTCATAAAATTTAGGATCCGCTAATAATATACTATTAGGCCAATTTAGTTTTGTAATGTTGACAGGGTACTTTGGCAAATTACCCGTCAGATCATTTAATACAAGACAGCATAAATCTGTAATGAATTTGCTATTTAGTGATTTTATTTGTAAGTTACAACTTTCCGTTATGCGAGTGGAAATATTATTGCCGATCCCTATGACCTTTAGTGAGTCAATAGGGTTCGAATTTAGAGCAATTCTTTCCTTTAGTGACTTTGAAATGAATGATGACTGGCTGCCGCAATCTAGCAGTGCACGAGCCCTTTCGCTTTGTTGTGTAATTGGATTTATTACCTCAATGACAGCTGTAGATAGTAATATTTGATTTGACTTCTGTTTACTAAAGTTAACGAATAATTCGCTGGAATCATCAATTGAAATGCAATTATTTACAGAGGTATTTGGACGGTGGAGTAAACTATTATGTCGTTTTTTGCATTCGCGGCAGGGTCCCATACGGCATTCACTAGCCGGGTGACCTTGCCTAAGACAATTGTTGCATAATTTGTATTTGTTTACCTCACTTAACCTTCCGTCGATGCTCATTGCCTTAAATGTAGGGCAATCATATATTTTGTGGTTTTCGTTGCAGATTATACAAGAGAATATATTTGACTTATTAGTTTTAATATTAGAACTGGCAAATGTTTTGGTAACATTGTTTGTTTGCTTATAATTATTGTTGTGATTGCAAGTGGTGCGCGTATTAGATTGCATGACTCTAGACGGCACGTTGTCGTTTTTATTTCGACTCAACGATTCTAACACATCCGCGCGATCGGTAAGGAATTTAAAGAAATTGTCTAAAGTAGGTACATTAGCTTCTAATGTGTTGCGGAATTCTTCCCATTTAGTTAATGTGTTACTGTCTAATTTTGAACATAAAATAAAGATGAGTAGTATATCCCACTTATCCGTTGGTTGTCCTAAGCTGGTCAATGCCCGCAAATGTTTCGTAACATGATCTATTAAAAACCTCAGCGACCGTTCAGACTCGCGCGGAAGTTGCTTAACGCTAAATAGTGCATTTAAGTGCTGGTTAATTAAAAGTCTCTTGTTGTTGTACCGATTACAGATTAATTTCCAGGCTTCGCTATAATTAACGGAGGACACTTCCAAATTGGAAATTATTCTAGCCGCATCACCTTCTAAATATGAATTTAAATAATGAAACTTATGAATGTTTGAAAGACGACCATTTTTGTGTATCAGGCTCTCAAACGTATCACGGAACTCCAGCCATCGGAAATATGTACCGTCAAATTTAGCAATTTTTATTTGAGGTAGTTTCAACCCAAACTCTTGATGATCCATAAAACAAGAACTATCTATAACGGAACCACGCCTTTGTTCACATTCTAATGTATTTGTAAATTTTTCCAACACTGTTTTGGCGGTGGCAATGTTAATGACAATATCTCGTTCCATAGTTTCGCGTTCTTCAATTTCGTCGTCAATATTGTTAGGATTCAAAACCTCAATTTCACCTTGCAAATCATCAACTCGAATCGACAATGATTCAAATTTAGCTAACTTAAGTCTTAATTCCGTTAGTTCAATATCATTCAATTCTGTTTTGCATTCTAAAGTGCTGAGATAATTTTTAAATTTAGTGATCTGACCCTTTGCGGACGATCGCTTTGTAATTAATTGTCTTAAAACTTTATCTCCCGAGTCACTAGGCATCGTGAAGTTATTTAAGTAACGTTCAAACAATACTGAGCACGAATTTAAATCAATAGAATGCAACTATGTAATAAATAAATTGTATAAAGCTCACGCTCCTCGTTTCGCCGGCGAGCGCCCGTAGATAAGAAACCGGTTCGCAACAGCTGATGACAATGCAGCGCAGTGATGCACAGTCGACAAATGATTGCTAGTGGCTGATAAAACACCTGGAATGTTTAATTTAATGGTATTATAATTGGGCTATGACTAAGCAGATTTAAAGTAGGTGGACAATTTTTTCATTTTCATTCCATTTCATAATTTTTTTTTGAGTAGGTAGACAAACAAACGATTTTAAATACGTAAAATAAGTGGAAAACTTTAAATTTAAAAAGAATTGATTAAATTTGATTTATAATGACATTATCCGCACAATAGATAGGCCACTCTTTAACAGTTGGATGATTTTGGATGCTTGGAACGTTGGTATTAAAGGACAAAGGGAAGGTCAAGGAAGGGCACTTATCTTTAGATGATTTCACTGCACAAGGTACTGCTTTTGCTGCACTACTGCTCGCCGTGATGTGCTGCCTTTATCTCGACGATCCTTGCTACTTGTCCTTCTTCACACCATAAATTTAATTTTCAAATCGCCAACGTACGTTTCTTCTTCAACTCTTTCGTGCTGATTTCTTTTGCGATTTACGAATTTTGTTGATTTTACGCGTTAGTTCCCCTCATGGGCCACCATTATGTATATTTGGGTACACAATGGAGCAATAAAAAGCCCTTTTTTACAATAAAAGAACATATAATTAAAATAGGGTGTTAACAGTGGAGCGGACGCTGAGAGAATGAATGGCTACCCTTCTAGCAATTTTAACATGCTCCGCGACGCCTGATTGTTAAACTGGCAATCATACATGTAGTTGTGGTTTGCTATTGGAAAGGCGCTAGGCGCCGCAACAACCTGTTTCGTCCATTATCTTTTTAATGAGCCTTTCCTTCGCGGCGTCTACATCACCTCCCTCGAGAATTACTTTTTTTAAATCATCTTCTATACCTTTTAATTCACTTTCATATTTAGGATCAAGGTTAAAAGTCTTAGTCAACGGCGGAAAATTATCTTTGTTGTCTGCGTTGACCTTTGCGTGTAGCTTATCAACCAATGCAGCGGCTTGATCTCTCGGTAGACCTGTTTCGTCCATTATCTTTTTAATGAGTCTCTCTTTCGCGGCGTCGACGTCACCTCCCTCGAGGATGACTTTTGCTAATTCATCTTCAATACCTTTTAATTCTCTTTCGTATTTAGGATCTAGGTTAAATGTTTTAGTTAAGGTCTCAAACTTACCTTTGGCATCTTTATTAGCCTTCGCTAGTAGTTCATCGACTAGTTCAGTGGCTTGCTCCCTTGGAAGACCTGTTTCGGCCATTATTTTTTTAATGAGTCTCTCCTTTTCAGCGTCTAAGTCCCCTCCCTCGAGGATTACATTTAAAAGCTCGTCTTCTGCTTTTTTTAATTCTGTTGCATATTCTGGATTGAGATTATAGGTGTTAGTAAGGTTTTTAAAGTCTTGATTTTCTTTTTTAGCTTTTGCTTCAAGGTTATTGACTAGTAGAGTGGCTTGCTCCCTTGATAGACCTGTTTCATCCATTATCTTTTTAATGAGCCTCTCTTTCGCGGCGTTTATATCACCTCCTTCTAGGATTACCTTTGTTAATTCGTCTTCGATCCCTTTTAATTCTTTTTCATATTCAGGATCTAAGTTAAAGGTATCAATAATAGTCTGAAAGTTGTCTTTGTTACCTTTGTTAGCTTTTTCATGTAGCTTGTCGACTAGTTCAATGGCTTGCTCTCTTGTTACACCTGTATCGTCCATTATCTTTTTGATGAGCCTCTCTTTCGCGGCATCTACATCACCTCCCTCAAGGATTACTCTTCTTAATTCATCTTCCGCTTTGTTTAATTCTGTTTCATATTCAGGATCGAGGTTAAAGCTTGCAATAAGGCCATTGACGCTTTTTTCGTCCTCTTCCTCTTCGTCACTGTCTCCACGAAGCCACAGCTCAGAGTTCAACATTTCACTGATTTCTCTTTGAATTTTACGTTTAATGTCATCACCGATTGCTGAATGTTCTACAGATTTTTTTATTGATTCTTTGATTTGTCCAGCACTTCTCCTGCCCGTCTGTAATTGTTGTAGTTCACTTTCATATTTTTCTATGTTTTCGTCCACTACTTTAAATAGTTCACCTCTTAAAATATTTTTCTTATTTTTGGAAGTTATTAACGTATCTAGAACTTCAAAAATACCATATTTAAGATTCTCTGAAGAAACGCTATCTGACGGTTTGTGAAATGTTGTATTAATCAAATCTTTTAGAGTTTTTTTTAATTCAATTTTTATTTTTGAAGATATTAGTGCTTTATCTGTGACTTCTTCGAATCCATGAATATTGTCTTCTTTAGTTTTTTCTAAAAGTTGTAATTCCTTTTTTTTAAGACTAGGATCAATTAGACATTCTATGTTGTCATTAATGGTCTGTGTTAATTCATTTCTTTCTGTTTCTTGTATTGGCAATTGTTCCATAATGTCATTTAGATCATTTATAATACGATTCTTATGGGATTCTGAAAAAGGTATTTTCAAACTATCTGACACTTTTTCTAATTTCTCTAGAAGTTCTGTTCTTTTCCGTCTAGATATGGATGCTTCTTTGATTTTATTTTCAAATTCATGCACTATATTTTCTCTTGCATGTTTCCTGGTATCATGGTCTCTTGTTGAAGATCTGCGTCTTGTTTTTGATTTATCAGGTTCGTCTGTATATACTGTACGTGTACTTGATCTTTTGTCTTTCGCTTGATAATCCTCATCATTATCATTATTATCTTCTACAACATCTCGGCTGCGTTTGCCTCTTGAACGTTTATGTTCAATAATTTGTACTATACTTTCTCTCGACTTAAACATATCATTTGGTTTTGAAGATGTACTGGGTGTAGGATTTGTTCTGTAATCACCATACTTCTCTGCAAACGCTTTGGTATTTTCTTGTTTATTTACAAATTTTTTAACCACTGGCACTGAATCTCTACTGAGTTTTTGGAACCTAGCGTTAAATGCATCTATTTCGTTTATTGCAATTGCTTCTGCATCATAATTTTTATACCGTGATTTATATTCATCTAAGTTTTTTGACTGTGAATTCTGGCTTTTCCATCTTTCCTCAGGATTTTCTTTGCCTCGCAGTTCTTTTATTTGACTTTTATCACATATAATCTTAATATTTATCTCAACCTTGTGCGTAAGTTCATATTTTTCCGCTTCCTCAATAGGTAATTGTTGTATGATGTCTCCTATATTTTTTATTACATAATCTCGCATGCCTTCAGATAGAGGTCCCTGCAGATTATCAGCAGTTATTTTTTCTAACTTCTCCATCAATTTAATTTTCTTCGAAATCGCCATGGGTGTTTCTTCAATTTTTCGCTCAATGTCTCCTACTACTCTCTCCTTAGCTCTTAATATAATATCTTTTTCGAAAGAAGTCGGAGCTCTAGGATCTCTGAGACCTTGTTTAGCAGTATATGGTATAGATTTTGCTCTTTCACTTTCTTTACCTATATTCCAGTCTACATGTAAAATGTCAGCAAATTCTTTTAAAAATCTGTTCTTCTCTTCCTCCGATATCGGTAGAATGTCTAAGATATCATAAACTATATTCCTCTGTTGCCCAGTTAACAATTGTTCAAATCCAAGAAAAGAAACATCGTTCAGTTTTTTCTTCAGAAAGTTGGATTTTGTTGCAGGGATTTGTTTTCCTTCTATCGTTTGTTCAAGTTTACGGAAAAATGTTTCTAGTTGGTGCTGTTTTAAGTCTTTCTCTTCTTTGCATGTCCCTTGACAGCTGAAAGTCTCTGGACGATTGTCGAACGATTTTTTCATATAATTTTTAAGAATATCAGCTTCATTGGTGGGTAAGTTGTTGAGTATGTTACTGATTCCACTTTTGACGTCTTCTTTACGACGTCCAAAAGAAGAGTTTATAAGATAACCTTCAGCTATCTTTTGCAAATTATTTTTCAATTCGGATTTTTTCCGTCTATTGATTGGTGATTCATCAATTTGATTCTCAATTATTTTAAACAAACCTTCTATTGATTTTGGTTCATTATCTGTATTCATTAATTTAAATTCATTGCTTTCTCTCTGTTGAGTTATCCAATGTCCAGGGTACCTCATATCTCTTTGATGGTCTAAGTGAGAATCTAGTGAATGAAATAGTTCATACTCTAATTTATTTTTCCTGTTATTAGTTAACGGCATCTCATTTAATACAACATTAATTTCAGCTTTGAGGGCATCCCTTAAATCGTCTGTTAAAGGTATTCTGTAGTTCTTTGTAAACATGATTTTTAGTTTTTCTTTTAAATTATCTTTTTGCCTCTTAGTTATAAGCGAGTCGTCTATTGGCGTTGCAAGTGCATTTAATATACTTTGTATCTGTGTTTGCTCTCTGTTTGGTTGCTTTCCGTGTAGTCTTACTAAACTTTCATTTCCTACTTTGGCTGACTCATGTTTCTTAGTCTTATCTAGAGGGATATCTTCTACCAAGTCAGCTGTGTCATCGTCTGTGTTACCTTCGTCTAATGTCTCAGAATTGAGCTCCATGTGTAGTAAAGGCCATTTTTCAAATCTCTCTTCACAATTCTTCAAAACACTACCTCTTTTTTTAAATTTCTGTGCTTCTTCTGTTGGATGTGTGTATTTTTCAACAGTACCTTTTCTATAAATTATTGGGTTAGCTTCTATGCCTATTGTTTGTCCTCGCATGTCTGCTATCGAATCATCTACTACTTCCAATAATTTCATTTGTAATGGCATCGAATCTTTACTACGATATCTTCTCTCTTTGTTAGTTTTTGTTCCAAAATTATCGTATTCATCAAATGGAGCCAAGTCAGTACTAATTTCTATGGTTCTTGTTTTTGTGTCATTCACTTGTCTCATCGGCACTGAATATATATTACTTTCCCTACTGTCTTCAGTTGTATCTATTTCATCGTCTCGCAAGTCCCCAATATTATCATCGATAGCTTCCATTAATATACCTTTTAGTTTGTCTCTCTTAGCTTTGGCTAGTTCTGCTTCATTAACAATATCATTAACGCCGTCTATAAGTGCACCATGAACATTGTCAGGTGACACTTCTTCAAACGTTTTGTCAACCAATTTTCTAAGTTTCTTCTTTAAATACATCTTCTTCTCTTCAACTATTAGCGTTTTATTCACAATATAGTCAAGCGCGCTAGAAATACTTTCTTGAATTTGTTTGTGTGAATAGTCTTCGTCTGTATTGAGATCCTTTAAAATCTCAATATTTTCTTCAACCATCTGCATAAGTTCGTCTTTTTCTGCTTCGTCAATAGGCAGTTTGTTAATAATATCGGCTATATCTTGTCTCACGTATTCTTGCCCGTTCTCAGACAGAGGCTTCTGGAGTTCATTAGAAGCTAACTTGTGTAATCTTCCTATCAATATTGCTTTCTTGGATCCAGGCATGAATGTTTCTTTGATTCTTCGTTCAATATTTTTCACTATGCTTTCTCTCGCTTTAGTTATAACACGTTCGTCCAATAGAAATAGTTTACTAGATTCTTTTTTATCTGGTTTAGCAGCATGTGTTTGCAAAGATGTTGCCATTTCGCTTTCGTTGTCTGTATTTAAATCTATACATAAGATATCACCCAATTCCTTTAGGATTCCACTCTTTTCTTCCTCGGATAACGTCAGGACATCCAAGATATTATAAACTCCGTTTCTCCAAAGTCTACTAAACTGTTGCCTAAAGCCTGAGGTGCATAGCTCTTTCAGTTTTCTCTTCAGTACTTTCTTTTTATATTCAGGAAGCGGGTTTTCATCTATAACCTCCTCAAATTTATTAAAGAAGTCTTCGAATCGATCATCCGTATTTTCAAATCTTTTTTCTGTATATGATGAAGGAGGTTTTGATCTATCGCTTTCTTTTCCCTTAGTCCAAACTACGCCAAATATATCAGCTAATTCTTTTAAAAATTGGCTTTTCTCCTGACGTGATAACGGTAGAGCGTCTAAGATGTCATAAACCGCGGTTCTCTGTTTCCTAGTAAATGGTTGTTTAAAACCTGGAGACGACAAATCTTTTAATTTCTTCTTCAGTATCTTGTTTTTCCTGACAGGGACGGGATTTTCATCTATTATTTCTTCAAGTTTATGGAAGAATATTTCTAGCGGATATTTTTGTAACTCTTTCACATCTGTCCACGTTTCTAGACTGCTGGAAGCCTCTGAAGGTTCATCAATCAATGTTTCAAAATTTGATTTCAGTCTATGCTTTCTAGCTCTACTTATAAGTAAGTCATCCAGTATATTACTAATTCCACGTTTCAACTCATCTTTAACATCTTCAGACCAAGAATTGTCTAAAAGATCATTTGCTATTTTATGCAAATTAATTCCTAATTCAACTTTTTTCTTTCTAAAGATATGAGATTCATTGATTTCGTTCTCAATTAGTTTGAAGAAATCATGTAATGTTTTAGGTTCACTTTCTTTAATATCTTCATCTGGTTGTGTCGCTCCACTGGGTTTAGTGGGCAATGCTTTCATTTTTTTAAGTTTTATCTGTTCTTGCACATTTTGTTTGTTTTTTCCTGTGGCTAATATATCCCGCAATTCCTTTCTATTTTTTTTCCTTGCGTCTTTTGATAGCAATTCGTCTAAAATCTCGTCGACTCCTTCTATTATAATGTTTTGGGCACCTTCAGAGAATGGTGGTTTGAAACCAGTATCGGATAAAATTTTTAATTTGTTTTTTAGAGTGTTCTTTTTAGATATAGGTATTAGGGCATCACCTAAAGCCTTTTCTAGATTATAGAAAAAGTTTTGTAAGCGTTGTCCCTCTGTATCGCTTTCATCAGCCCTAAACCTTCGAATATCTTCCATTTTCTGATCTACCACGTTCGTTAAATCATCTTTAACTTTATATTTGTCAGACTCAAACATTAATGTTCCATCAAGTACATCATAGATACCGTCTTTCAAATCTGCTTCCACATCTTTAGGAACTGACGTCCTAACAGCTTTATCTATTGTTTTACTTAATTTTTCTTTTAAACTTTCTTTTTTCTTCATAGGCAGACGACATTTGTCAATGACTTCTTCGATACTTTGGAGAATACTCTTTTTTAATTTGTTTCTATTTATATCTTCCATAAGCAGTAATTTCCTCTCTTCTTTTTGAACGTGAAAGTCTGGTATTATACCTCCGCAAATAAATCTTGTCGGTACATTCGGGTAATAATATTCACACGAACCCAGATATTCTTCTATGCTGTCTTCTAAATCACGTCTCAATTTGATTTTCTTATCTCTTATTAAAGGATAGTCATCAAGAATGTCACCAGCTCCATCTTGGAGAGCATCTAGAATATATTCCATTGGTGTTGTGTTAAACACCCGTACAGCCATTTCTGTAAGTTGGTTTTTCAATTCGAGCTTTTTATCTTTAGGTATCGTTGCATAGTTTACAGTATTTTTGATTGCATGTAATACATTAACTTTAATGTTTTCTTGGGGGTCTAAGGATCTCCTTTTCAATGATTTCATAAGTTCGTCAACCGAGTTTGATAGTTGTTGTAGCATTTTATCCCTAGTATCTTTCGATAATTGTAGTTCATCAAGGATATCAATTAAATCATCTTTCAAATCCCTTAGGCTGTCCTCTGTCAATGGTTTATCAAAGTAATCTTTTGCAGTATTTAAAAGGTTTTTCTTTGCTTCTCTCTTTTTATCTGCATATATCGGTGCGGCATCTATAGCCTTTTTAAGTTTTGTTAAAATGCTTTTTTGAGTTTCGTTTTCTAGATCTTGTATATACAGTGTTAGTTTCCGATCTTGTATTTCTCCTTCGGCACTTTCGTCTACACTTATAGATATTCTTTTAGACCTTTTTTCCCCAACTCCAGCTACAGCAAGGTCTTTGACTATTTTCTCTATATCTTCTTCAAAATCATCACGTACTTTACCCGTGAAAGGCATACTTAAGTAATCAGCAGTTATTTTATCCAAATTTGACTTTAGTTCTAATTTCTTTTGTTTATCAACAGATGATTCATCAATCTTTTGTCTTACCCTTTCTAGCATTATTTCCTTTGCCTTCTTTGCCTCTAAATCGCCTTTTATTTTTGATCTTATGTCTCTCAGATTTCTTTCAATGGTACTAATTAATTTTTTCATACATTTTTCGCTTTCAACTTTAGCATCTTCAAGAATAATATCTATTTGATCATGTATATTACTTTTCATTTCGTCAGTTATTGGTTGGATTAGATTTTCATTTAAAATATCTTCAGTTTCTTGCCCTAATAAGTCCTGTGTGTATTCTGGTATCGGCGCATTCCCAACTCCTTCTTTAATTATTTGTTGTAAAGCTGATTTTATTTGATCTAGATCTTTGCCAACAGCCATTTTTTTGTCCATGCCTTTCGCTAGCGCTGATGATAATCGCCTTTTAACTTCACTGCTTTCTTCATCATCGATACCCATTTTATCGACAACATTGATTATGTCCCGTCTTATATTAGTTTTTATTGTGTCTGTTATGGGTATGTATAAACTGTGAACTAACACTTTCTCTATATCTTTATTAACCTTTGCTTTATTTTTAGAATCAGTTGGAAAGCTGTTAACAATATCTTCTACATTTTTTGTTAATAGTTCTTTTATCCAATCTTTAACTACATATTCACGCATGTATTCATCTAAATGCAGTCCAGCAACAATATCAGCTACTTCATCTTTCATATCAAGGACTTTACTTTCTGGGACTTTCTCAGGAATAATAGAATCATCTATAATATTTCCAATTTCTTTGTTTATGTCTTCTTGTATTTTATCTGTCATTTTACAGTCAATGTTGTGAACAAGTAAGTCTTTAAATTTAATTTTTAGACTTCTTTTTTTATCATTTGTTATTGGAAGCTCCTCAACGGTTTGATTCAAGTGTTGTTTGATATCTTCTTTTATAACATCCGTGTCTTTATCCTCTTCAGGAGTTACATTTAAAAATCTTTTTAAAACTGTGTCTAGCTTAGATTTAAAATATGGCAATTCTTTTTCAGGAATATCCGTTTCTTTTACGATATTACTAACATCCTTTTTAATTTTTGTTTTCACATCATCGGTTAATGGTTTATAAATTGCTTCTGATACTTTTTTACCAATTTGATATCTAATATCAGTCTTCTCATCTTCGCTAATAGGCAGTTTTGTTAATAGTTCACTTATATCATTTGTAACCTTCCTTTTATAGTCATCCATTCCTATATGTTCGATTGATGTTCCTCCCATTTTACTTGTCAGTAAATTTACCAACTCTTTTTTTAACTCTCTTTGCTTCTCCTCGACAATTGGTGACTCATCAATAATATCAAACATTTTTCCTTTTATTTCAACTCTCACTTCTGACATTGACTCTCCTTCATTATTATCAAGACTGGCTGTTAGTTGTTTTTGTAAATCATTCTTAGCATCTTGAGGTATAGAAGCTTTTTCAATTATATCTTTTATACTTTGGTCCAATGACATTTTCATCTCAGTTGTGAAAGCGTTATCGTTATCTTCAGACTCTAGTTTATTCGTTAATTTGTTTCTTAGTTTTATTTTTTTATCTTCTGGTATAACATCCTCAACGATATCAGAAACGTCGTCTAAAATTGTATTTTTTTCTTCATTTGTGAGTGTAGAATCTAATTTCTCATTTAACATGCGTTTGAGTTTACTGTAAAAATATTCTTTGGCATCCAAACTCATTGGTGCTCTTTCGATAGCACTGTTTAAATGGTTAAATATTTTTTGTTTTACTTTACCTATATCATGTTTCAGGCCAAATATAGCGTCGCCAAAGTCCTGTGATATAGTTTCACTGACGCTACTTCTTAAATAATTCTTTTTATCTTCGGGTATCGATAAGTCACTTACAACACTAATAATATCTCCCTTCACTGCTTGTTTTGCATCGTCTGAGAGCTCGCGGAACTCGTTCTCAGACAGTATATCTTGTACATTTCTTTTTAAATCCCTTTTTTTATTGCAATCCATAGGACAACTATCTATGAGTTCACACACGTCATTCTCCACTCGATTCTGTATATGACAGACACAGTTATTCTTACATACGAACATATCAAACACTTTCGTCGAAATTGATGACAATAAGCATTTTAGATATTTCGCAATATTTTCATCTTCACAAACTGGTGATTCTTCAACAATGCCACATATTTCTTCAGCAATAGTATCTTCTATATCTTCAGGTAAATGTTTATTAATATTTCTATCTAGTGTATTTTTAACTTCGTCAATCAACTCTTTCTTTTTACGCGCGTTCATTGGGACATCATCTAAAGCACCCCTAATAAATTTAGTTGCAGATTGCTTCAAATCAGATGAATACCTTCCTAGTCCAATAAATGATTTGAAATAATTTCTGCTCACTGCTGATCTTAATTTATTCAATAAATCCGGGTGACTCTCAGCGGCTATTCCTTCTTCAGATATAGCTTTACCTACATCACCTGATAAGGCGTCTTTGAGATAATCTTGTACTTGGCGAGCATCTAAAGCAGATGCATTCATTATATGACTATCTAAAATCTTTTTGACCCTGAGTTTAATTGATTGTTTTTTCTCCTCTGATACTTTTGTAGCGTCAATAATTTGATGAATTTCATCCAATAATATTTGTTTTGCTTGATCATTATAGAGTTTGTTTGAAGGCCACATATCTAGTTTCTTTATAAGATCTGGTATATGTTTACGTATTGTCTCGGCATCTATAGGCAGGTCTGCCTCATCAATACGACCAAATATCTCACTCTCAATATCCTCACTACCTTCTTCTCTCGCTTCTTTGATTCCGTTCACAAGATCTCGACTGACTTTGTCAAATTTTGCCTTATCTATTTTATCAATACCTGGTATACTCTCTAACCAATTCATTACAATCTCATGGAGTTCATCTACATTGTGAATTGCTAGATGGCTCGATCGTACAGTGTCGTCTACTTCATTCATTAACTCGCCTACCAATTCATCGATCATTTCCTGGGCAATGCCTAAGTCGTCCATAAACTTATGTAGTTCATTTTTCATTTTTTCTCTTACTGTATCATCATCTATACCCTGAGCTTGCAACTTGTTTAGTCTTTTAGCCAAAGATGGAAGAGTATTTGGATCATCTTTCAATTGTTGTAATGCTTCTCTAATTATGCCTAGTTCTTTTAATAAACCTTCTAAATTGTCCTCTAAATCGAATGTAAAATCTGTTCTATCTTCCGTCAAATCTATGTTCTTGGGTATGGTTACTATATATGAAGCTAGTTTCGAGGCCCATTTATTTATTGTAGCATCTCTGTTGTCTTGTATTTTCAAAGGTAATTGTTTAATAATTTTTGTAATCTCTTCAATTAGCATTTCTTTGTATTTAACATCATTGTCAGGTCTATCAGCAGCTAGACGTTTCAGTTGGTTAACAATATTATCGATATCAGCCTCCTTATCCGCGTCATCTAAACCATCCTCAAAATCAACATTTTCCCTTGCCCATTTCTTGACGAAATCTCTGAACTTGTCTGGTTTCCTCGGTACACCTACAATTCTTCCAATGAGACTCTCGGCTAATTTATCTTTGAATTGCATTTCGTCTTTTTTATCCTTCCCAGGGCTCCATATAGGGAAGTCTTCCATGAACGATTTGACCGCCATTGTGATATTATCATCAGAATTCTCGTCATCTTTAACTTGTTTTATAGTTTTCCTGAGCTGTCTAACCATGGAATCTCGTTTCCTTTTTATTTCGGCGCTTTCGATGCTCTGTACTGGGACATGTTTTAGCCAATCAGAGATCTCTTCATCGATGCGATGGTTGTAGTAAAACTCATCGTCATTAGCGCAGGAGCAGGTCATAGGTGTTTTGTATACTTCTTCTGGACAAACACATTTGGCCCCAGAAGTTTTGGAAATAACTTTTGGGCAACAGACGTGTTTGGGTTTTTTGGGCTGGAGGTTAGTGAGGGAGGTGTTAGTGGCTACATCAGGGTAGCAGCTGCACTGGATCGACCTGCTGCAGGAGCAGTATGTGCCGTTACACTGAAATCCAACTGACTGACCCTGGAAGCGTTTGAAAATTGAAAGATATGGAATTTTATAATTTTTCATTCATTTATTTAAATCTTGTTTGTTTTGTATGTTGGATTAAAATTAAATAAATTGAATTTGAAGTTAAAGTTTAAGTCGTTGTCTTTACTGTACCTATTTTGTGATTTTTCTTGAATGTAATATTTATATTGCAAATATTACTAAGAGAAGAACGATAGTTAGTTAAAAATGATGTCTTTTTATATCGTACCAACGAAGTCGTTGAAGGCACTCAAATTATTTTTAACATCTGAGATGCGTCGAGTGCCGAACAAAGACCTCCTTCATTTTCTCGGCTTGCCGTACCTAATACTCGCGATTGGCTAGTTTCTAAGAATACAGTTTAATTATAGGCATTTTAAGATGCTGCTACCAATATATCGATGGCTGATTACTTGCCCTGTTTTGCCTTAGGGATAGCACGGCTCTATATACCCAGGTCCTACTGACCATAAGGCCTGCTGTCCTCGTAAGCCGCATGTAATGAGACACTTTCGATTATAACGCTTGTAAGACGCTTGCATCTTGCGAAGAGACAATACCGTGTCCACGGAGAGACAACATTGCCTCACAAATCCACCCATCGTCATGTATAGGTTGCATGCATTCGTCAAATAGAGCGTCATGGACATATTTTCCTATATCTACCTAAATAAGTTATTATGAAGTATAATAAAAAGAAACTTACAATCTTTGGCTCGGAACAGCTACTTTTAGTCGGTAAGAACCGAGATGATACGGATCTGGGGCCTGTGTAATGTTCAAATTAATCAAAAATAATTAGAAATATAAAGAAATATTAGCTTTGAAATATAATTTATCTCAATGCTACAATTTTTGGATACGACTGACATGTGTTACTTATTTGCAAAAATGATGTCTATATTTAGTGCTTACTAGCTACTTGCGCGCGGTTTCACCCGCTCTGCTCGGCTCCTATTGATCGTAGCGTGATGTTTTCTAGCCTACAGTCTTCGTCGATAAATGGACTATCCAACACAAAACAGAATTATCCAATTTGAATCAGTAGTTTCGGAGAATAGCGCGTTCAAAGAAACAAACAAAAAAACATATTCTTTAGCTTTATAATAATTAGTATAGATTATAATATATTATCCAGGGATTTATGTGTCGTATATTTTGTTTTTAAATATGATAATGAGTTACTTTTCTATGTCAACTTAAACTGAATATATCGCTTGATAGAAGCTACCCTAACCTAACCTAACAATCATTAACAACAACAAACAATAATTTTGGTCTATGTGTACTTAGAACGATTTTGACCTAAGTATAATTCAGAGTTATCTCAACTTCGTACCTCAAATATCAAAATTCACAATTAAAACTTCGTAAAAAACTCATAGAATGATATACAAAACAAACAACATTCCCATGCCTAACTTCAGATGATTTTGAGAGCAATAAAGTTCTAGAAGAGAGCGCCTAAGACCATTATAAACCCTATTAGAAAAAAATAATAAGAAGAATAATAAAAACAAAAGAATAATACATGTAAATTGTATGTGTTGTAGTGTAAGAAATACATAATAACAGCCAGGCCAATCAATTTTAAACTTTAATCCGTTGAGATAATGTTGTCAACCCGCAAATCCGGTACTTGCCAACTAGTCAAGTTCAATACTTTTTTCGAACTGTCAAAAATGCCAGTTTTCTATGAATTTCGTACGAGATAGTGTATTGTG